TCAAATAATTTTCCCCCACATGGGCAAAGGAAAGTGGAGATTCGCGATACTTTGACATTTGAAAACGCGTGAGCGTTTCGTTATTTTTATATTTTTTTAAATTAAAAAAGCAAAGGCACAACGACGCTATACTGCTCTTTTTTGTGCTCCTCCACAATGGCTGGGAGGAGGTGGAGGTGTATCCGAGGGGGTTGTCTGGCGGATGACAAAATTGTACTTGCTCCGGTGCCAGGGGTTTGTCATCATCGTTGGCTGGTGCGCGTGAGAAATCCTCGACACGCGCTAACGCTTTTAAAATGCAAAAATAAATAATTTCAATTTAAATTCCTTGTTGTTTTATTTCTGTTTTCTTTTTCAGTGCTTTATTATTGTTCGAATACTTCCCAATGGGTGGTGGTTGGAGGTTCAATTGTATATGGAAGTGAAACATAAGTTCTTCTTCTGTTTTTGTTTCGACTCCGTCTGGTTTTATCTAGGGTGAGGCTTTTCTCCCTTGTCATAATTTTTGGGGTGTTGAAATTAATTAGATTTACTCGTTATAATTCATTTTGCATAAAAATTTCCCCACGATATTAGCTACTACTAATTTAACAAGAAAATAATTTATAAAAACTCTCTAAAATCCAACAGTAAGTAGTATATTTGAAAAGTATAGAGTATTTTAAATGTTGTTATTTTTATAATGTTCTGATTGACTCATGTTCTGGTTCTATTACGATTTTCAGTTGGCATCCCCAGCTGATTACCGCCCACTGGCCATCCCACCTTCGGCTGTCTTTAATTTCGCAATTAAATGCTTAACTTTTACGGCCCGCGGTAAGCCAGCTGCAAACTACCAAATGCCAAACCGGCTACTGTATGCTGGGCGCTGAAATTCACACTGTTTATTGTTTATTATTGGCCTGTTGCAGTTCTGTCCATGAATGGCCTATCGCATTTGGCAGCTCCCCCCACAGGCCCTCGGGCCCATTGCTCCTTAGCTGCCTCGATTTCCAGTGGGTGGCTATCAGTAACCGACTGCGGCTAAGCCAGCTTGTCAATTTTTGTATAAAATTTATTATTTTATTTGCGTCAGGTTTGCGTTTTTGTTTTGTCACTTTTCAGACGCTGTTTGGGTCGCAGCGAAATTATTTACATTTTGCTGATTGTGACAGTTTTTGCATTGCCAGTGCTCGGAGGTTTGCCTGTCATAAAGCGAGCTGTTTGCCCTCGCCTGGTACTCAGATATATGTGTATATATAGGGGAACACGTACATAATATATCTGTATCTGTAGTGCGCCCTGGAGAGTGTCATAAAAGTTGCATTGCATTGCACGCAATCGACAGAAGAGCAACAGCCACAAATGTTTGCTCAATTTATGATCGCAGTTGCCGCTTGTTGGTTGTTGGCTGTTGGCAGTGGAGGTGCCAACTGTTTCGTCCGATTCCAAAACTGGCCAGGGTCATTGATTTGGCAAAGATCGGATGTCGAATATCCCCCATTCGAAGCCTCGTACTAATCAAATTAGGCAGCTGATTGTCGGAAGGTTTCACAGTTGATTCATGGTCATATGATGATGTCGTACGGCGACGACAGCCCCCGGACATTTCATTGACAGCTCTTTAAAAAATATACCTCTATATGTGTTTTCACATATAAAGAAAAAAATGTACGTACAAACGAATAGATAGGAAATAGAGGCACTTGCGGAGGGGAAGTGCTAGCTTCCAACTTGGCAACGCTGCGTATGAGTAATGCAGGGGCAACAATTCAGAATGGCTGGCAAACTTGGCAACGGCAAATGAAGCAACAAAATTCAGCAGCAGCAGCCGCAGATTAAGAACCTTTTAAGGGGATTAATGATTTTAATTTTTTCCGTGCATTCTGTTTGCCTCGTTTCCGTTTTTCTACCACCATTTCTCTATCGGGGCGTATAAACTTAATGACTTACTTTGCAAAAAAAAAAAACGGGGACAGAAATGAACAAAAAGTTCCATAAGAAGGTGTATTATATTAAAGCCGATTTTTGTCATAGTGACTTAACTTATAAATCCACTGTACTTCGAACACTTTTAATTAAAATATTTTCCTGTTGATTGTACAAACAGTTTTTTGTTTTTGTAAGTTTTGTTGAATGAACATGAATGTTTTCATTTAAGAGGTTTAAAGTTGTTTCAAATATATTCAACAAGGAATAGTTGTAAATTTTAATTTTTAAGCATTTTTATCAGGTGTGCATATATACAGATGTTTAAACTTACAAAAGTATTTTTAAAAAGAGCATCTCATTTTCTATATGGCAGAGTAAAAAAATTTCTTAAATTTTTTCTGGCACTCTGTGAACTGCTCCTGGTTCACGTTGCTGGGACATTTGTTTGCTCTGCCACTGCCACTGTCCTGGCGAAATGCCAGGCAAGGACATGCATGGACCGATCGCTTCCAGACTCGTTCTTTTTGTTTGTTGCGCGCATTAAGCTAATTATGGCCAAATAAAGTGAGACGAAACGAAACGCGCGCTCTAAGCAAACAGGATATATCCTGTATCCTCTGTTGCATGCCAGCACTTAACTTTCCATGCCCTTCTCTCTCTTCGCTTTGTCCTGTGGTTGGGTTTTTTGATTGTTTTTCAATTTTCTGCATTGTTAAACTTTTGCTTCCCATGTTGCGCCTTGTTTAATTTGCCGCCTGTGGCACGTGACACTGGCGTTGGCAAGTGCACGTGTCCTTGCCCGAATGAGAAGCACAACAAGCACCAGGCACCAGTTGAAAATCAGGAACTTGGAGGCCTTTCGGCAGCAGCTGTTTAATGGCTGCTGCCTTTGGCAAATATTTTGCTTGTGCTACAACCAAATCAATTTTGTATGCTCACCCAAATGGAATACGAATGCGACGATGTCCTTGCAGCACAACCCACTGCCAATTTCCTTGCTTACGTCCTTCCTTCCAGCATACTGTCCGCCCCAACTCATGCCCTTTTTGGTCACGTGTCGCAGCAGTCGCGCCTCTTTCGCTTTGTCTGCTAATCTATCAAAGCGTTGGCAGCAAACCAAATTGAGTTTGTTTGGATATCATTTCCACTGGCCAGGACACGAACCGAGACCCGGAGTAGGAAGTCCGTAGTAACAACCGGACTGAGTCATCCGGATGCTACCTGCCACAAATGCGGATTGAGTTTTCTGCCACTTGTGGCCCGCTTTCAGTATGTTTCTTTCAATGCACTTAAAAAAGTAAACAATAATTAATAGGAAAATAATACATTCGTATTTTTTGTTTTATTAAATTAAAATTTTTTTAAAGTTTTTTTTTAAATAAATATTGTAATATTTAAAGCGTTACGTCTGATGATCATCTTTTTATTTAATAGTTTGAATACCAAATACATTGATTTAATGTTTTAAAGTTTTTTTTTAATGTATTTCCTTGATGTTCCCACAATTTCCCTGTGCGTTGACGTCAATCAAATTAGACGCAACCCATAGCGCCGCTCGGTCGGCAAAAGTTCACACATCAAATTATGTCGGGGGTGGGTTCCATCCTCCCTTCCCCGCCTGAACCTTCCCGGTACCACCTCCTCTACCAGCCCTTCGAACCAACGTCGTTGCTAACTTGCGATTTGCGTTTGTAAATGTTTTTCTAATCAGATTTGTGTGATCTATCCACAAGGGAGTGAAATTTGTTTTGATGTCGCTCCAGCAATCCGTTTAAGTGACAACCGGGGATTGGGACCGCATAGTTGGGAGTTCTCATAATTACTCAAGTGCTACGGATAGCATATGCTTCGGGGAGAGATGCGCCGGAAAAGTTTCCGGCCAAAGATATCCGTTCACATGACACACTTTGCTCAACGGTCACTGGCCAATTGTGATCGATTGGTTTTAAAGTCTGGCCATAAACTAAAACAAACAATAATCGCTGACATTGTAAATTAATAAACTTATATATAAGAGTGCAACTGCGTTTTCAACTGCAATTGCGATGCCAATCGATTTATTGCCACAGCTCGTAAGTGGGTGAGTTTTTAACCACCAGACATTGATATTGATAGGTATCGTCATGATTTCAGGGCCAATATTTTCTACCTTTGGTGATCGTCATTCCCTTTCCCGATTTGGTTTCTACAATAGTACCAGTTCTTGTCGCTGGTCGGGAATTACCTTTTAAGCCCTTTTGCGTTCGTGGATTTTTATTGCATTTGCGAAGATTTCGCCATTCTAATTGATTGTCTGCCCATTCCGGGGAGGACTCGTAACCCACCCAATGGGTCGCTTATCTTCGCCCTGGTTATCGATCTAGTTATCTACCTATCTGGCTATCTACTTTTGCTCCGATTCGAGTTATCTAACGGGAAATATGCGCATAATATCCATTTAGATATATAACCAATGGCCGACCGACACCAGACCAACCACTGTCCCATTTGTTAGCCAGGCGCATTTGTTTGTGCATTACAAATCGTAAGCACACTTAAGGTGCCTTAAGCTCTGGCGCCGCTCCATTTTGCAAAAAAAATGAAAAATAAATATCATCCAAGAAATATGTTTGAAAATATGAAAACGTGTACGAACTCAGGAAAAGAGCCAAACGAGTGGCGCCGATTATAATCGATAACATTTTATCCAAGAATTTTAACCTTAAGAAAATGTTCTACCAAAATAATCCAAATACGCACAATGTTTAGTTAGTTGTTACTAATTCTTAGTATTAATCCAAGCACTGCCTTACTTCATTCTGGAAACAATGGGTTAAAAGTAAATTTTGTATTCAAAATATTTGGGTTATTAAAAACAAATTTATAAAATAATTTTCAGCACCCTAAACCTAATAAATGATCCATTCGTATTCGCAAAATTAAGAATTTAGCAAAATTTTAAATTAGTTTTTAAGCTTACCTCTGCTACAAACGACACTTTATAGTGAAAATGGTTTCTGTATTTCTGCGGCTATTTTGGGTGTTGCTTTTCATAAAATCAGTAAATAATTAAATGAACCATTTAAATATACTATAAATGTTTTTTTAAGGTAACATGTTTTGCGGAGTTTACAAATATTAAGTGTAACCCCTTGGATTCTGAGTTCGATGAATTTGAATACTGCTTATTAAAATCTGTAAATCGAAGCTACAAGTACTTTTCCCTAAAAGTGAAACTGTTAAAAATTCCAATCACCAAAGTGAAGGTCAGATCCAGTCGTACATTAAAATTAATTGATGCATTTATCAATAAGTGTATTTCAGGTAAATTTTGCTTTGTTAAAAAAATTTAATGGATATAAACCGTTTCTATATAATATCACCGTGGATGCCTGCAAGACTCTCCGAAATCCCAAGTCGAGTCCTATATTCGCTTACTTTCACGACGCCTTTAAAAGTTTCTCCAACATGAATCACACCTGTCCATTCGATGTAAGAACACTTTTAATTAATTTAAAAGAACCACTTTAATAAATATATTTATAGCACGACATTATTGTAGATAAGCTTACTATAAATCACGTGGATTACCAATTTAGTACAGTGCTTCCCTTTTCCAAAGGAGAATACCTTTTTCACACGGAATGGTATGCGTACGATGTCAACCGAGCAATAGTAGATGTATATTTTAATCTTTATTAAAATTGTTTAAGAAATTAATAAATTTTCCCAAAAAAGCATTTGAACACAAACTTGTTGATTGACAGGCTTTATAAAGTTTATAAGTTAAATATCAATGGTCAATATACATTGTATACTCCTTGGTACAATATAGCTTCGATCTAAAGGTAACATTCGCATTTTCACCGAATCGAATGTTTGTCTATTCTCCAATAACCAACCTGCTTTAAGATCTCCAAATAGGTCAAACCGCTAAAGCTAAACCACTAATTCCGCTAAAGTATCGAATACTCAGTACTGAAACTCAGACATGATTATAGAAAAAATATTTTATCTGAAAAGTCTAAAATTAGAAAATTGTTTTAGATTCAATTGTATCGGTTAACACTTCGCTAATTTTCTAACCCACATATTAAAAGACAGAAAATAAAGCACACTTTGGACAAGCCAGAATCCTGAAGCTTACACTCTTATACCATTTTAGTTAAATATGGGATCCTATGCCACTATAGGCCGGATGACCACTTTTTCTGGCCAAAATTAATAACTTCTAAACGAAACAAAATATTTGGGTTCTGTTTTTTGATTTGGGTTCTTAGTAAGCTAAGGAACATATTTTTAGAAAATTAGCGTGGCACCGCCACCTCTGGGCGGAACTAGATTTTATGTCTTCCAAAGTTATATAAAAGTAGATAAAAATAAATATAACTTTAAAAAAAACAAAAATATTAAGGTATGGTTTTTTTATTTTGGTTTTTCATAAGCTTAGGTATTAAAAAAAGGCGTGTCACCGACACTTTCTGGCAGGAACTATGGACATGTTTTCTACAATTGCTACGCCCAAACCGTTTAAAGTAATTATTATTAAAAAGGCCTGAAAGGTAAAATATAATCTAAACTGTTTCACATGCGCACCTAATCAACATCTTCTTCGGTCTCAAGTTCCATTTCCCTGAACTCAAGTGGATCGTCTTCAATATTTTACTGATACTGATCATCAGCGCTCCTTAAGGGACTGTGGAGCAATTCTAATACTTCTTTTGGAAGAAGCTATCTGTTTTGTTGTTTGATACGGTTGGCTAGGTTAACCGATGATATTGTAGGGTCTGGTATATATAATGATCTGTGGAATACGTCCTTTAAACTTTTGCTTCGACTGCTTTTTCTCGCATGCTTTTTCTCGGTTTCAAATACAGAACCAGCTATAGAAACTTTGTATCTAGCGAATATTGCATTCTCTTTCGCACATTTGGTCGCAGCAGATCTCCAAACATCGAAAAACTCCATGTTAGCAAGCCTGAGGTTGCGACCTTAAAAAGTGAATTACACAGAAAGTGCGCAAAAGGGCACTTTAATATTACATTCATATGAACAAGAATTGAATTACCTTCAACCCAGTATAAATATTAAGGTCAAACTAGCTCAAAGACCGTTTAAATCTCTAACTAAACATTAGTTTTTGTTATTGATTAACACACAAAAGCTCTGTTAAAAACACTCAATTACAGGGACAATCCCAAACAAACCAACATTTGAGAATCGAAAACATATAGTACAAATCACTCCCTTTCGATGCCATAACAACATTTTTATAAATTACTAAGTTTAGTGCCTTTTTTATTAGCTTTAAATGGACTCTTTTTTCCGATAACAAGCACACGTGATCACGACACTCCGAACAGCTGTATTTGAAAGCCGATAACTTAAAGGAGCGTGGCTCTGTCAAAATTTCTGTTACATAATATTGAAGTCTGATATTATACTAATATAATGACATCATAAAATCTTAATTATAAGAACTTTCGAAAAATGGGTTTTTGGCCAGAAAATGTGGTCATCCGGCCTATAGTGCTATGGTTTGATTTACAGAACCATAGAATTTATAGCTTTTTGAATATAATTGTTCAACCCATTCAACCCATTTTGTAAAGATAATCGAAAAAGAGTTTATGAGAAACTATTAAAATGGTAAATGATACATGTCCATTAACGAATAACTTACCATTCATGTGAAAATATATATTAGTTTTCAATGTAAGCCTTGGGTATTAACGTCGTATTAAAATGAAAATTAAAACTTTATTTAAAAAGTTTCTTGTAATGTTGGTACTTATTAAAAATGTGAGTATGATTTTTTTTTTTAATTTTTTAGGAAAATGAATTCTTTTTTGACAATTTTAATAGACAACACCTTTGGTCGAATTTACAAATGTTAAGTGTACATCCCACGATTTAGAGTTTAACGAGTTTGAATACTGTTTTTTGAAGTCATTAAATCGAAGCTATAAATACATGTCTCTAAAAGCAAAGATGTACAAAATTCCAGTTACTAAAACAAAGGTCTGTTTAAATCTTATTTTACTTTAACATAATTTTTGACTTTAATTTGTGATTCTATTTTAGATTAATTTTTCTATGCTCAAGAAATTTAATGGATATAAGCCGTTTTTATATAATATCACCGTCGATGGTTGCAAAGTTTTCCGACATCCAAAATCGAGTCCCATTTTCAGTTTTTTCTTCAATACGTTTAAAAGTTTCTCCAACTTAAATCACACCTGCCCGTACGATGTAAGAAAGTTTTAAAGTTCTTTTATTTTATGGAAGCTATTTAACATTTTTTTTCATTTCAGCATGATTTAATTGTTGATAAGCTTACGACAAATCAAATTAACCATCAATACACCGCTATTCTTCCTTTTTCCAAAGGGGAATACCTTATCCACACCGACTGGTACGCTTATGATGTCATTAGATCAACAGTTGATTTATACTTTAAACTTTCTTAAAATTATCCTTTGGACACTCCTACAACAATTTATGACTTATGACCCTCGAGTACAGAGAAACACCTAAGAGAAGAAATAATACTGCTTTCCTGCGCTATTAGCCCTAATAGGCCGATATTTTTCTAAAATTCAATTTTCAAAAGCTAAAATATACTATAGTAATAACTACTTAAATAACACTCTACCTTCACATATATAATTGAAAATGAAAAAGTTATATTTAATGGACCGCAAACAATGTTTTTACCAAGTGGTTCATGTCGATCATACACCTAGATAATACAAACACAGATTTTTTTTGTATAGCTCATTATTTTTAAACAATTGATAACACCAAGCTTACGTAAAAATATATTTAGATCCTATCAATACACACTACAATAATTCTACGTTAATATATTTACTCTTAATAGAATTAAGACACAATACCATTCTGTGAATTTCCATAAACATTTTATAATTTTCTTTATTATTATAGACTTTTCAAAAATATCTATGAAACAACCTGATCGAAGATTAAATTTGATATTAAAACAATTAATATTTTTAATGATCCGTGGTATGTGGCGGATTAACTGCCTTAAATGGATCCATAAATATCAGTTTTAAACTTACTTCCATTGCTAAAAGTTTATTCAAGCGCAAAGAATGATTTTGGTTCGGCGAATACTTTGGATGTGGCTTTTCATCAAGGCTGTATATACTACTTAAAGAAGTCAATATATATACACCACATATTTATTAAAAATATTTTAAGGCAATGTGTTTGGTTGAATTTACAAACATCAAGTGTACGTCCCCCGATCTGGAACATATCAGCTTTGAGTATTGCTATCTGAAATCGGTAAATCGTACCTACAAGTATCTGTCATTAAAGGGGATTATGTACAAAAAGCCAATTTCAAACGTAAAAGTACGATCCAGACCAATTTAATTCTATAAATTAGTAATCCACGTTTATTTTTCAATTAAGGTAACATTTGCTTTACTTAAGAAATTCAATGGATATAAGCCGTTTTTGTACAATATTACTGTGGACGCCTGTAAGTCTCTACGACATCCCAATGCAAATCAAGTATTTGCTTTCTTTTATGGCTTTTACCATTCTTTTTCCAACTTGAATCACACCTGTCCCTATAATGTGAGCTAAGTAATCCTCCATTTATGTAAAGTGTTATTAAATAGTTTCAATTACAGCACGATGTCATTGTGGATAAGTTACCCATCAGCCACGTAGATCATCAGTTTTCCAAACTTCTTGTCTTTCCCTCGGGGGAGTATCAATTCTTCACAGATTGGTTTATTAAAGGAGTCAATCGGGCAACTGTAAGCGTTTATTTCAGACTTTATTGAGATGAAATTTTGGGTTTTCATTGTTACTTTATGATTCTTGGTGCTTACTTACTTAATTTCTTATAAATTTTTATCAATATTTATGCACTTGTATATTATTGATTCGTTTGAACAAATAATGTTTGATTATATGTATAAAAAATTATTTAATCAAGTTTGTTCTTAAGCTTATGAATATTACATCGGTTACAAAGTTTAACATAAACTAGTCTCTATCGCTATGCTAATTCCGGTTAATTCTAATTATTTACATTATATGCACTTTGGATCGAATTGAAGGGGAAGAAATTCCCGTTCTCAGGGACAAGTTTCTCAATCACGGGGTGTGATCTTCACCCGGAGGCCGTCCTTGGGACGCAGGATGAGTTCGCCCAGGAGCGTGAGGTCCTCCCGTCGGTCTACGGCCTCGATCTTGTACTTCCGCAGCACCGTGGAGATCACAGCCTTCTCCTCCAGGATGGCGAACTTCTGACCGATGCAGTTCCGGGGTCCGGCACTGAAGGGAATATAGGCGAAGGGATGGCGTCCGGCGCAGTTCTCTGGCAGGAAGTTGTCCGGATTGAACTGCTCTGGCTTAGGGAAGACACGCGGGTTGCGGTGCAGGGCATAGGTCATGATAATCGCCTGTGTTCCAGCTGGCACAAGCTTGCCTCCTAAAAAATTATTAATTAACAAAATGAAATCCAACATTGCTGATTAATCCTTGTAGAATTTACCAATATTCACATCCTCGCCGACCATACGAGCCATCATCGGCACACTAGGGAAAAGGCGAAGCGAGTCCTTGATGCAGCACTCCAAGTAACGCATGTCCAGCAGGTTTTTCATACTGGCCGGAGTCTCCTTGTCATCGCCAAAGATCGAGTCTAATTCTTCAACCACACGTTCTTGGTACTCCGGATGACAGCCCAGCAAAAACAGGGTCCAGGAAATGGCAGCTGAAGTGGTGTCATGTCCCTCGAACATAAAGGTATCCACTTCCTCGCGAATGTCTTCCTGTAAAGTAAATTACATAAATGAATAATTTTGAATTAAAATAAGAAAAAAATAAATCTTACATTCGAGAGCACAGTGCCTTCCTTTGAGGCATCGATCAAAAGGTCAAGGAATGCCAGACGTTTCTTTTTTCCCAAGTCATCATAGGCATCGGGGGCTTCATTGTTATTATTGTTGTTGTTTTCCTGAAGAATGGCCAGTTCAGCTTTACGTTCTCGAATGACCATGTTGGAAAATCCGTGCAGAGTATTTATATAGCTCTGGTGAAGTTTGTAGTCCGAAGTCAACCGGAAAATGAGATCACTTTGCAGCCAAATCTTGGCCTGACGACTCTGGACAATGGAACCGATGCTGCAAAGAAGAAATATGAATTATTATTTAATCATAAACTGTTTCTCCTAATGTCATGGTGTTTAGATTTTACACTATTTCTCCAACTCTAATATATATCTTCATCAGATATCATAACCTAAATTATTTTCAGTGTATAAAGTTATTAAAAACGAGTGTGGGGCGGGGAAAGTGTTGCGTTAAATTGAAAGTTAGTCATGTGTTCAATGGGTGTGTGCTCTATGAGGCGTGGCCGGGACTGGGAGTGTGAGATTGGTGATGATGCTGTCTGTTATCAGCTCCGGAGCACTTCAAGCATCCCATTGACATCTTAATCTCGCATATTTTGCGCTTGGACGCACTCCACCACCCATTCCCATTCCCGAGACGCAAAAGGACATGCTGGAGCTGGGCGGTAGGTGTTGAAAGGACATGTGTATCTAAAGGGGTGTCTCATTCCCTGACAGCTGTTCTGACAGCTTTCGATATTAAACTGCTGCCACAGAGCTGATAACTCGTTGCCAATGCTGAAGAGTTGCGGGTGGCATTTATGCTACAATTCCCAGTGGTAATCAAATTTTATAATAAATATTATTAAGGTAGACAGACAAAAATAATTACAGCTACAGCTTCGAATTGGTTTCCTTTTAGGTATGCTATACAAATATTGTGCAGACTCGTTCGCGTTTTCTAAAATTCATAGCATATTTTCGGGGATACTTTCTTTAAAACTTGTTTTCTTACAAATAAATATAGTATCCAAAGTGTGTGATTAGAAAACAAAAAATATATATACATGTTTAAATATTTTTTATTTATTGTATTAAGATTTCAGTACAACAGCTTCATCTTTTCTTTTTCCATTTTCATAAAACTCATTTGGTAGTTGGCCAAAAAAAAAAGGAGAAATGTCTTATGCCCCCAAATAACCAATAATTTTGTTCCATATTAATCAACAACACCAGTGCGGCACGAAATTGCCATAAGGCGTTAGTTTTATGAGAATGACTTTGTAATTGAATCTATTTTCAAATAAATCGGACTGGCTGGCAAATAAAAAGGAAATGGCTCTGAATACCCATAAGCAATTTTGAACGATATTGATCGAAACTAATTTTTTTATAAATTTCTGGCAATTTCAAACTGATATTATTTTGAAAATTGTCCAACTAAATGGTTGTCAAACTCAAACTAATTTGGTATTTCAAAATGTAATCCAAATATCAATGACTTACCCGTAGACCGCCTTTACGTATTCCGACTCGCTGTTGCTCTGGGCATAGATTCTGCGACCCATGGCAGTCTCTGTGGAAATGGATGACGTATGCAATTAGCAACGGCTCATGGAAATCTGAGTATGGTCACCTGAGCCACAGATAATGGAGCATCTGAGCTCAGGCGACATTGGCACTCACCGCAGACAATGTCCAAAGTGCATAGCGTGACGTATGGGAACAGGTTGAACGCCTCGCTGCCCACCTCGACGGCCAATTTTCTGGCCAAAACTGCGCTCTGCTCATTGAAGACGTCAATGAAGTCGTCCAATATTTTGAAGTGGAATGCAGGTGTAAGAATCTGAAAAGGAGCAAAACTTAATAAGAATTTGATAAAAATAATAATAGTTTACATTACCTTCCTGCGGGAATGCCATTTGCGATCGGTGCTGGTCAGAAGACCCTCACCCAGCCAAGGATGCAGATAGTCGTAGTCGTGGCTCTTGTTTACAAACTTCTGGCTGTTTAGAATAGGCTGGAAAACAGAAACTAAGTTAGCCAAAATTTTTAAGTATTTCTTGATAAAATCAAACTTACCTCCACAGTTTCGGGCTCGAAGAGAAGAACTCTTGGGGCGGTTCCTTGCCAAACTCGATTGATACCGATTCGCGTGCCCCACAATTTCTGCATGCCAATGACGCGATTGAAGAGCTCTGCAAAAATCATAGAAAAACACACAAACCAGTTAGCTTAGCTAATTTGGGGAAGACAGTATTTAAATTTGGTTGCTTTAATAACTGAAATTCATTATAAAACCGCCTCATGTTTTCAATTAAGATTACAATCAGAGTAATAATTTTCTTTGGATGTTGTTACCCCCATGAAGGTCGACGCAATTGCTTTCTCGTGGGCCCAAAAAAAATATAAGCCGCGATTTTCTCACCCCAATACGGCTGGCCCGAAGATACCTGACCGAAGGCACGTTACTCATAGATACAAGATACCAAATACAATCGTTTAAAGACCATCGCATTGGTTTCAAATGTGTTGCATTAATTAAAAGATGAAACACACAACACAAACACCCATGCGTGGCCATTCAGCGATCTCTAATAATGATTTTATGTAACCCCAAGCAAACTGGCTGATGACGCCGCTGCCGCAGTTTCGCGACCATTTCTCAGGTGGGGCAGGTGATTTTTGGCGGCTGGCCCTAGGTCCGCTGGACCGTTGGTAGCTCTTCGTCGGAAGTTGGCCAGCGAATTTCGTACTCTCCAAAACAAAACAAAACAAAGCACTTTTCATGCAATATCTTGCCGGTCTGCGGGTCCCTTCATTATCATTTTGCTTTGGTATTTCGATACACCGTAACAACTAAATGACAAAATTTAATACAAAATGAAATCCTTATTTTTCAACTAATAATATTCATAAAATTAATATATTTGAAAAAAGCACACATTTTATTCGTAATGATTTTATTTACGAAATTTATTTTTTAAGTTTCTTTAAATCAAAGTTAAGGTTTTTTCCACTGTGTGGCTAGGTAGCCAGGTGCTTGTCACCTGAATGGTGGCTGCGTAGAGTAAAATTACGCTGACAATTCGAAATAATTTATGTACTGGCATAATTTTCCCGGCTGACATTGGCTGGCACACATTAAAAAGCAGTTACCAAAGATTTGCAATGCCACACTACCGATCAGAAGCCACCCACATCCCGCGGATCGCGCCGTGACCTCAGTTTTCATGGGGCTAGAACTCAGAACTGGAAACCTGTTTGAGCCTTGGCAACTCTGCTCTCCACAACCACAAAAATCCAAGAGCTGCCAAGTTGCCTCTTCAGCTTGGAAAAATATTATCAAGAACCGCTTGACCTTGGACAACCATTCAACCATTTACTGCAACATCATATTTCATTTTCATTTTAAGCTTTTTTAGCATCTAACAAAAGCCTCGTAATTGCGCAGACAAACAGTCATATAGCTCCGAGATTCGTTCTTAAATTAAATTATAAAAAGAATTAATAAAACCCCACTGGCTGCTAATCGCTCCATAAATTATATGCAAACTCCTAGCTCGCCTTGACAGAAATATTCTTTTATTTAGCAAGCACTCGGACAAGTCTTTTAATTATCATGGCCTTAAAGTGCTCCGTAAATTTTTGGATGGGGATGTCGAGAATTAGCAAATCATTTCTTTCGGTTTATAGAGTGGTTTGATGGACAGGTTTCCAAGGTTCTAGCTCGAGTTCCCGAATCGAATTGTAAATCATTTAAATGCCAAAACTTGATTATCACCTGGTAAATGGTCAATGTAAATGTTAAATGTTCGGTAAAAAATAGGTATCATAATACCGTCAAGAACCCTTAAGATTACCAAACTGGATATGAGGCTTTGAGATCTCGAAAGAAAAATAACCAAACGGAAACGAATCGACTCGAGCCTTTATCACAAATCGAATGAGTAGCAATTTTGCAATAGCAGTGTCTGTGCTCCACAGACTACTTTTAGTATTTGTGTAATTTTTATACCCTTGCAGAGGGTATTATAATTTTGGTCAAAAGTGTGCAACGCAGTGAAGGAGACATCTCCGACCCTATAAAGTATATATATTCTTGATCAGGATCACCTCCTGAGTTGATATGAGCATGTCCGTCTGTCCGTCTGTCTGTCCGTCTGTCTGTCCGTCTGTCTGTCCGTCTGTCTGTCCGTCTGTCTGTTTCTACGCGAACTAGTCTCTCAGTTTTATAGCTATCGTCTTGAAACTTTGCACACACCCTTCTTTCCTTTGCACGCAGTATATAAGTCGGAACGGCCCGGATCGGCCGACTATATCCTATAGCTGCCATATAACTGATTGATCGGAAATTGTATAACTTTGACGTTTTTAAAGTTACAGAGTTCAAATTTGACATGAGTGCTATTTTTGGCAAAACATTACGACATGCCAAATTTCGTAAGGATCGGCCGACTATATCCTATAGCTGTCATATAACTGAACGATCGGAAATGACCCAACTTTCGTGTTGTTAAAGATAGAAAGCTGGAACTTGGTACAGATTATATTCTTGGTCAGTTAATCCGATCTACCAAATTTCATAACGATCGGCCGACTATATCTTATAGCTGCCATATAACTGAACGATCGGAAATGGTTTTTGGTAGAAATACCACTTTTGGTGTTTTTGAAGATAGAAGCTTGAGACTTTTTTTAGATTTTGTATTGTAATAAATTGGATTATATATTCATATTTCCATAAGGATCGGCCAACTATATCCGATGTTTGCGATATATATCCGGTTTAAACTGCAAGGGTATATAAACTTCGGCTCCGCCCGAAGTTAGCTTTCCTTTCTTGTTTTATATTGTTATATGATCTACATTCATTTGAATAGAATTGCCCAGAAAGGGCATATCAGCTGGTCCAGGAATCTTTTCGAACTGCTTGAACACACGGGATCGATGGTTGTTATAGACTACCAAAAATATAATCACCTAGGCTGTTAGAAAAATCGTAATCGGGGAGTGCAAGATCACTTGCTCCGTTTTTTACCATAGATCAGGAAAGTATTCGCGCGATATAATATACACGTTAATATCAGGTCAGGTCCGATGGATCAGATTTGATCTTCAATTTTTATAAGTTGTATAAGTTTTCCATTAGTTTCTATCAGTATTAATAACATTGAACTTGGTTTATAGAGTGGTTTGAAGGACAGGTATCTTATGTTCTAGCGCAAGTTGCCGAATTGTAAATCATTTAAATGCTCAAACTTGATTATCACCTGGTAAATGGTCAATGTAAATGTTAATGATCGGTAAAAAAATAGGTATCATAATACTCTATAGAACCCTCAAGATTACCAAACTGGATATGGGGCTTTACGATCTCGCAAGACAAAGCAAAAGAACCAAGCGGAAACGAATCGACATGAGGGTTTAGCACCAATCGAATGAGTAGCAATTTTTCATACGTTTTATCAAATCAATTTCCTACACGATTTCGCCGCAAACTCTTGGGGCTCCGAATTTTGTGTATCTCTTCAGCTTCCGCATTAAAATGTATGTTAATTTGCTTTGTTTATTTTTTTCTTTCGATCATCCAACATCGAACGGAATTGCAAAACGCCGGATTGGCTGTGTGCGAATTAATCAGGCCCCCTGGTAGATTGAAAATCGTTCAGCCGGGGGTCCAATTATGATGGATATTCTTCGACTTCAGTGTCAAGATCAAGTCCAATTCCACCTCGGACCTTTTTTTGTTAGGTATTTATTTTTTTCTTTTGACCAGTGTCACAGTCTGAGCCGAGTCTGCTGGCATTTTATGGCTATTTTTATCACTCGGCTCGAGTCAAGTATTTGTTGGGCTTGTTATGCCAGTGATTTATGAGTGACTTCTGGCTGCTGTTTCTCCACACTTCATATTTGGTAATTGTTTCGAGATCGGAAAACAAATTCATGTAAATTGCGTGTGAAATGTGGAGTTCCCAACTGCCTCTGTTAGGTGAAAGTTGAAACATTCGGCCTTTTATTAAGATCAAAAGAGGCATCTCTAATTTTCATAATAATTTGACATCAATTTCAACAATTGTTTCCTTTAATTACGGGGAGTGTATTTATTATGCCTTTACGTGTAAATTTCGGGTGTGATTATTTTCTTTCACTGGGGCAAAGGTGAATGTCTCCAGACTTTTAAACTTTCCAGTCACTTCAACTCATTAGAATTGCCAAAGTTTCATGCACAATTGACATTCGACTTATTCATGTTTTGTTTGCTTTCAACCAACGATGCTTCGAGGTGCAAACCAATATACGAAATATGTTAATTAAATTATGATTAAAAAACAAAAAGCACATGCTTATTGCAGTCTCATTTCCAACAGGTTTTTGCATTTCAAACTGATATTTGGGCTGTTCTATAAATCAATTAGCATCTAACATCTATGGGTACCGAACTTGGACTCCGAACCAAAATCTTCGATGGGCTGTCTTCAGCAACGAAAGTGAATTTAGTTGGGTAAAGTTCATTAACTCTAAATTGGAAACCAAGAGATCGAGTATATTACCAAAAGTTAGGAGGTAGATGGCTCGTTGGGAGCTGATCGTAGAAATTAGCACCTGGTCGGCTCGGCGACTATTTGTCGTGTTAATAAGACACCCCGCCAAGTGACTCAGGGTCAATAGCACTAACTAGAGCACCCACAGAGTACTTTTAGTATTTGTGTTATTTTTTGATATTTTTATTTTTTGGAGAGAACTTACCGTCATGATCTACATTCATTTCAATGGCATTGCCCAGAAAGGGCATGGCAGCTGGTCCAGGAATCTTTTCTATATGCTTCACGAGACGGGATCGACGTTTGTTATAGACCACCAAAAATATAATCACGGAGGCTGCTAGGAAAATCGTAATCGGGGAGTATCCGGAGATCACTTGGGCCGTTTTTGAGAGCAGGATGCTCTCGGCCATCAGAGAGGAAATCACTTTTGAGGACATTTTCTAAAGAGTCTCTAGTGTCTGTGGACTTTGATAGTGCACGATCCACTTTCTACACGATTATATTATGTATATCCTTATCACACGCAGATCGAACCGGACCCGGTCAACAAACGATTCAAACGCTGCGAACTCCAATAGACAACTAACAAAAAACCCGAGATTGCACAAAAATTTAAAAAGAAGTGCTAAAATTTTCGGGCCAAGCGTTTCGGGTTTCGAGCTGTCGTCGTGAGCTCGGCTTTGTATCTCATTTGTATCTGAATCTGTGTCTTCATCGGTGTGAGTGAGTATCTCAAACGGTTAGCCGGCTCCGCGCGACTCGAGAAAAAAATAGTAGCACACACAGACACATAGATCGGGGAAAAAAGCCAAAACAACAGCCTGCACTCGCATTGTTGCCTAGATGACTGGGCTTTTTGGCTGTTTATGGGACCTACAAATTGTCAGAGTTGCAGTACGATTTCATATGTGACGTTTTGTGATTAATTTACTCCGGTGCAGGGTACATCTATACCACTCTAAGGTTTGCCAAGTTAAGGGAAAGTATTTGCGGGATACAATATACATATTAATATTCAGGTTTGATCTTCAAGTTGTGTAGTTTAGCAACTGGTTTCCATGCAAATATTAGTGGTTCTAAAAAAATCAATAACATTGAACTTGAACTAATTAAAATAAAATCCTTGTCTAGAGATTGAAAGCTACATTGTACCATACATTGCAATCAATTTAAATATATTATCCTTACGCTGTATAGTTTTCTTTTGATTATCCTTTAGGGTATTACAACGTCGTCGTATTATTAAAAGGTATACTGAGGCGTACTTGTTTATTTAGCATTTTATTAGTGCGCCCTTGTACTGAAATAGCAAACTTCAAATATTAAAAGAAACAAACCTCTGAATATAAAGTCTGTTAAAATGGGCGGCACCGTGTCAACCCTTTTCAAAAACCCATTGAAATTATTGGGGAGCTGATCAATTTCCGCCTATAAATACAACTAACCTTGGCCAGAAATTGGCAAGAGGGCTTGGATGGGGATGAAGCCGCTCGATTCTACGATCGCCCATTAACTAAAAGTTCGGATTTCATTATGCGAATGCAATTAAAACGAACTTAAACGCAGTGTCATGTCCGCTAGTAGACACTTTAAAATGGGAGAGTTTAATTCGAGGGGTTTCCAGTTCAGAAACCAAAAGCTAGATTGCAGCCTTCGCCAGACTGAGTCAACAAGACGCAGAATATTCTTGGACAATTAGCGAGCGATTGAGAGTTGAGATGCGGATCAAAATCAAGATTTCTAATTGTCTGCCGCATGTTAAATGTAACCCAAGGTTAGGAGGAAGTTTCCTCGCACCCGTCACCATTAAAACCCGTGCCCGTTCTTATTGATGATGATCGAGGCGAAACCAGCGTAACTCGTTTTGGGTTCTTAGTTAACGAAATTAATTTTATTTCAACCCAAGTTTTGGGTTTCGTTTTTTTTTTTTAATTTGTTTTGTGTAAGCCACCGACCGGGGAACCTGTTCTTTTGGAAGAGATAGAACCTTGTATTACGGATGCAAACTATAGACACATTTTATAGCAGCTCCCAGCCACTCCAGAAATATTGTGACATAATCCTCTAAAAGAAATTCTTGTATTTATTTAGCACGTGAATTAATTATAAAACCGGACCCCAGACTCCCATCTTGTGGATTTTAAATATTCTTTAAAAATAGCAGCCTAGCGAAGAGTTCAAAACAAAAGGTCAGGGACCACATAGGAAACCTTCTTTGTAAAACCATATTCTTTTCCGAATCAATGGATCATTACATTCTATTTGATTGTGGTCTGTTTGAGATTACGAAACCTCTGCTAGATCAGAGACTAATGTCTAGGAAGTGGAAGAAATCGACTGCCGTGCGACTGGTTCTTTAATTAAAGAAGAATTATCAGCTTCAGCTTGGCGGGGGAAAAAGCGGATTGGCCAAAGTGTCGAGTCACTCCTCAAAACCACTTGTGTTTTCATTTAACCATTTTATCATCCAATTCTGCGTGCTTACCTTTTATACGTACATTTATAGTTATGCCTGCAACTCCACAAAGAACTCAGCACTCGAACCGTGAAGTATGGGGGCTTCCCCTTTGGCTGACTCGTAGGCCTCTTTGTTTTGATTTTTGTTTTGGTCTATGGTTTGTTGGGATTATACGAGTGTACAAATTCATGTTAATTTGCCTACGTGCAGTTGATCAATGACTGATTTGCAGCGGATCCGAGGCAGATCTTCGGATAACTCGCATATTGATGCTAATAAGCGGACGGTGTCTGAATGGCTTTATGTGGAGGGCCATCCTCCAAGTCTACTATTTTCAAGATCAAGGTCGTTATGAGACCGGTGTGCGTCTATCTTCCTGCTCAAACCAGTGTTAAATGGAGTAAGAATGGAAGGCTAACTGGGCCGAATTAGTTTTAAATGGTGTGAAGATTAAAGTCATAAAAAAAATAGTTTCCTGTGAAAACATTTAGCCTACATTTAAATAGTTTATGTAACTTGTATTTTTTTAAGGCTTCCTTTAACTGCCAAGAGCCAGAAAACCTCACCCCTAAACGGAAAACATACAGACACTTTCTTTCGGGGTAGTTTTGTAACTGTAAGGGTATGTGTGTCGTTACTATTCCTTTTCCCGTTCCATATAATTTCCAACTAGTTCTGGCAACGAACTCAGGGAAACCCTTACAGAGAGCCAGAAAAAGCATACTTACCTGGCGTAGAGGTTAACCGTGATCACGAAGGCGGTTCCTCCGGAGTGAGGCTTGGCCATTGCACCTCGGCTGAGTTGACCTCTGCGATTATTCCTAATGTGAATAACTCGTGCGTGTAATTTTTGGTAGCCGGGAATGGCGTTCGCGCCGTCCCGAATCAATAATAAATTTAAAACAAACATTTTCATTCATATTCAATGGAAACAGTAAGCGTGTGGCAAACTTGTTTCGATTAGTCGGTAAATGTTTATTGGCATCTCACTAAGCAGTTCAATGGGTCAAAGCAACAGCATCTTGAATGAGGTCTCTCAGGTTTTTAGTCTTTCTATACTTGAACTTGGACTGGATGTGGATCTGGGTGCTGGCTAAATGAAATCTATACTGACTACCTGCGGAAGAAGAAATCGCAAGAAGCCTTCGCCAAACGATGACAATAAAAAGAGTTGTAGATCTGAAATATAACTTCAAATCTTTCTGTTTCTGTTTCTACGGGGCTTTTGTTATTGGCAACGCGGTGTTCCGTTCGTTTATTGCCATTAACTCAGCCAGCTAGCATTTGACTCACAAATTATGGCCAGCAACATGTATTTTCCGGCGCTGAATTTATTAACTCTCATTTAACTTTGGCTTTGGCCAGCGGTCTCTGGGTCCGTCGATAAGGTCAAGTTCATTTCCGCATACTAGGCTTGGCGGTTCGATTTCTTGGGCCAAAAGCTACTGTTACGGTAAATGGAGTTGCCGGCATGGGAAGGGAAATTGCACAAGAGGTCAGATGGAGTGGCCATAAAACAATTAGCCATTAGACGGGCTTTATGTGACGCACTTTCGGCCTGTCTTCGCAATCGGGGCAATTACTGTTGGTAACTAACTGACAATCTCTCCTCGGGTCACGCAACAATAAGCCCCCTCCCCCTCACCTCTATGAATTTACCTACCAGCGTGTGAACTGCTGGAGATTTTCACTTCACAGTGAACTTGGTTGTTCTTGGGGGTCCATTTAATTGGCCAAATCTTAGTCTCGGCCGCACACTTCACTGCCAATGGTCAAGTGCAATGAGTGGCTGCAATTAACCCTCTAGATGATGTCTACGTGACAAACCTGAAACTGGTTGAAAAACAAGATATTTTAAGATCTCTTATCAGTTTTATGGAATAACTTTATATATTTATTTTTTAACTTTTATTAAATAGTATTATTTCGTATCCAGGTATTATACTCGGTTACATTGGGTTAAGTTCCATCAAAGAACCAAAATGCAGGCCAGGCATCTAAAACCAGGGTCAACGCGTCTAGTTTCAGGTTTCCTTCTAAGCCCCTGGCCAGCCAAAACATTGGTTTTGACACAGATATAGCCGTATTGGCCGGATCGGTGCATGCATTTGGCATTTCGCTAGCCAAACCATCGACTGCCAGCCATCCAACTGCCACCGGATGGCCTCGACTTTCAATCTTCGTAAATGAGTATAACTCATTGTCAGTCGCCGAGAATGTGTCTGGCATTCTTTTAATTGTATCTTTAAGATGTTTCTCACACAGATTGTGATACGCACTCGGATCCGTGAATTACATGCCGATAGGCATCAGAGGGAAAATGTGTTTGCCGGCAATTACGATGCATTCTCCCAAATCATTACATGACACTATGAGCCTTACATCTGGGCAGAGTCATATCAATTAACCCACAATTACCATAGCATTTGCTCAGCATCTCTGCGGCTACCTGGTGGTTGGGCAACGGGGGTTAAGCGGTACGCCTAAGCATTTATGGGCGTATTAATAACCACTATAAGTTCAAGAACATCGCTGATGGTTGTTGTCATAGTTTTTGCCGCAGAAATATGTAATTAAATCTGCGAATTGCAATCGATTATAAATACGTTTTCATACATTCGCGCTGTTGAAGGTTTCGTTTGGCCAATGAATGATTTAATAGATTGGTATTACTTAGACGCCTTACTTACGCATTCTACCAATTTAAATGGATTACTGCCAAATCCGGTTTAAACGAAGAGTCTTGTGGGAGGGAGTAGAGAAAATCCAACTTGATAAATCATAAAATAGAAGTTAATATTATAAATTTTTAGAAGAATGCGTTTAAACTTTAGTTTTGATTTTAGCCAAATTAACACAAAAAAAATGGAAAAATTTAAACATACAACATAAACCAGCAAAATAACCTATCATAAGATAGTTTTATATTTATTAAAGTATTTCTTTAAAAAAATGTAGTACCATTTTAAATGAAACCTTCTTTTAAAACTAAACTTATTTTCAACTTGCTTATTTTTAATAATATTCTTTGAAATACAAAGAAAAAACGAGACAACATTGCAGAAAAAATTATGTTTTTAAGTTTTGATTGTGCCAATTAATCAAAAAAAGTAAAATACAGTTAAATTACAATTATTTAAAAAAAATTCTTTTACAAATTTGCCTTGTTAGGCTGGCAGTGCGGGGAGAACTTTTTGAAACGATATGGTAGCTCATTCGAATGTCAAAAGTCAAGTTATGATGTATGTAAAAAAGACATCTACTGAGTATATTTTACAGTCACTCGGAATCCAAACGATATTTCGATCAAATAAATGTTGTTCATAGTGCTTTTAAAGCAGTGTTATTAGATTTTAGGTTTTCCTCTGAAATGAATGGTTTTTGAATTTTCATCACAGATTGCCCAAAATATAGTCCCCGTACAACAAGAAAACAAAGATTTTTACTGCGTTTTCATGGTACACCGATTATTTTAGGGTAAAATCGAAATCGGAATCTGGCAACACTGTTTTAACGCTAATTTGTTATTTTGAGGCTCCTCCATTTTCGTCGCATTCTGCAGTTAGATTCGGGATCGAAAAGTCAGATAAATATCAGTAAACACAACCACTGGACTCCCCCTAGTTTGTACATTAGTTTCCTTACACACCAAGATGCAGCGAATGGGCCTTCTGGCCATCTTGGCACTTTTCTGTGCCTGCGGTGAGTGTTTTTGTTGCAAAATAAGGTGACAAAGAGCGGGGGTTCAACTATTTAGTCATCGGGTATTGCGTATTTGTTTCCTGCCTTTCGCTTTATATGGCCTTTTATTGCATTTTTGCAGGCTTCGTTGCCGATGCCACGCCCATCGAGGGAGGCGGTAAGCTACTAGGAGCCAAGTCGTGCACCTGGGGCCCCTCGTACTGGTGCGACAATTTCAGGTGAGTCGGAAGAAAAGTCGCTTGGTCATCAAAACGGGGCGGACGAAAAGTTCTCGAAGAGGGCGAAGCAGCGGAGAACCGAAACCGCTACCCCTTTTGACCCCACTCTTTTGCACTTACAGTTGTTTCGTCTCTGCTTCCATTTTTTCATTGTTTGCTCTGCCAAGTTTTTTGTTGTTGTTTTCCTGTAGATAAGACTATCAATCGGAGTGTCGGACTGCGCTCTATTTTTTAGCTCCATGGTGCGATAACCCCAAACCCCTGTTATTGCAAACTTAACACTAGTGACGCTCCAATAGCTCTCTCTTGTAGGGAAAATAATTAGGCTAATCTTCCGATTATGTGATGAGAATCCAAGTCTATCAATTAGTTTTATTTTGTCTGTTTTGAAAATGACCTATTTTGGCAAATTGCAGTTTCGAACTACGCCACTCTTATCAGCCAACTGATAGCTAATCAATTAATAAGTTTATATTTTTTTCTGTGCACATTTGGTCGGCTGTGGGGTACTGCACCATCCCTATTTCTGCATCCCCTTTGTTTTCGGTCGGCATTTAAATCAAATTAACAGAATACAGGGGAAACTTGCCGACAGCTGAACAGTTAGTTCGCGAGAGGGGGGAGACTTAATCAGTATGAGTGTTTGCATGACTAATCCCAAAGCTCGGATCACTTCGTGGCGATCTTCCCTTTCACAAAATGACGCGTATAAGCGGTGGGTTTATCATCACTGCAATGTGTTGTAAGCGCCAGCAGTTGTTCTTTATCAACGCGTCATAGGTCTTATATACCAACAATGCACACAGGTGGGCTCTCAAAATGTAAAAACATCAGCTCAAGCCGAGAAAACGCAGCATTTCCCGATACTCTCTGTTTACAAACATTAGTTTTCCAGTTCATCCAGTAAAACAGCCTCCGGATGCATTACTAAAGCTGTAAAGCCCAGCCCATGGGCAACTGAAACCATTTGTTAGGCCCGCACTGCTTATCTGCAGCTATAATTCCTTTGTTTATTGATTGATTTATTTTTAAACGCCAAGGAAAATCCACCACTCCGCCCTCTTAACTGTTTCTTTGTTTGTCAATTAATGGCAAAAATTGCAGAGCCACGAAATTATAAACGTCGCCATTGCTGAATTTTCAAAAAAACAATATCTGTTTTCGCCAAGACGGCTGTGTAATAAGTATATATGTGGGATATGCCAAGATATATATGTATGTTTGTCTGGTTATTTCCGTGCTTATCATTGCTCTTTCCTTTGCTTTCTAGACGCTTTGTTTGGAATGTCGAGTGTTCCCAACACAGGCGATCTTTCGATGCTAATAGAAATTAGCACTTTTTGGATTAAGAATATATATATATTGTTTATTTAGATAAATGGATATTGAATTGTTATGCGGGTTACTGAAAAAATCGATGATGACCTGTAGAAATAATGCGTTTCTACTGTGTATCACTGATCATTCTGCTTACTAATCCTCTCGATTGCATGCATATTACTTATGCAGTTATCTAAACTGAAACATAGTCATGTGGTCACTGCGGGTACATTCAACTGCGGAAAGAAAATAAAAATGTGGTGGTTCTCCCCCTGCAATGGACTCTGATCTTTGCTGACTCGTTAGTTCCAACTTGGTCACTCGATTATGAATGCGGGCTACTTGATCCGCTTCTCGGGGTTTCTGCGATCAGCTTACCACGCTGGTTCACAAACTTATCTTTAATTGTTAGGCACATTTCTGGAGCTTTAGTCACGGCTTACTTTTCTGATTCTATTCACGCAGTAATTCTCGAGAATGCCATGCCACCCGCCACTGTATCAACGCAGTCTGGACAAAGCAGGAGGTGCCGGTGGATACCGACTCCATCTGCAAGATATGCAAAGACATGGTCACCCAAGCCCGCGATCAGCTGAAGAGCAACGAGACCGAAGAGGAGCTCAAGGAGGTCTTCGAGGGCTCCTGCAGGCTGATCCCCATCAAGCCCATTACCAAGGAGTGCATTAAGATGGCCGATGACTTCCTCCCCGAACTGGTCGAGGCCTTGGCTTCCCAAATGAACCCTGATGTGAGTGGCGTGTACTACTTTAGAATTTAATCTAATTAACACCAAATTTAAACACTTAAATGACCTTTAATGTTTCTCGAACCTTCAGCAAGTGTGCTCTGTGGCCGGACTTTGCAACAGCGCTTCCATTGACGAAAAGCTGAAGAAGGCCTACCAAGATGCCCTCGAGGGAAAACTAAGCGAGGACGAAGAAGACAGCTCAGAGGAGAACACCAAAGCGATCGTCAAGCCCAACAAAGTTCTGTCCTGCAACGATTGCAACTATCTCTCCAGCATAATGCACTACAAGTTCGCTAACACCGATCGTGATGACATGGTGGAGAACCTGCTGCATATGTGCGGATACCTTTCGAGCTTCTCTGACGCCTGCGCCAACATTGTGTTGACGTACTTCAACGACATCTACGATCATGTGAGCCAGCACCTGGGAAGCGACGCCGTGTGCCATGTGTCGGGAGTGTGCGCCGCCAGCAGGTACCACCAGCATAACGAAGAGAAGCCGCCAGAGGCTGTGATTGCTTTGGGCGCTGGCGATGACATTCCGTGCGAGCTCTGCGAGCAGCTGGTGAAGCACTTGCGCGATGTTCTGGTGGCCAATACGACCGAAACTGAGTTCAAGCAGGTGCTGGAGGGATTCTGCAAGCAGTCCCGCGGCTTCAAGGACGAGTGCCTCGGCATTGTGGACCAGTACTACGCCGTCATCTACAACACCTTGGTGAACAAGCTGGATGCCAACGGAGCCTGCTGTATGATTGGCATTTGCCAGAAGCAGAGTTCTTCTTCGGATAAATTCGCTCCAATTATGCCTCTTCTGCCCGTGATCGAGCCCGCCCAGGTCAAGGTTACCATCGAAAAGCTGGAGAAACATGAGAAGAAGAAGCTAGGCGCCAGTGAACCCAAGTTCAGCCAGCAGGAGATTCTGGACATGCAGCTGCCCATTGATCATCTGATGGGTGCCGCTAACCCCCTAGAGTTGGTTGAAGGCGGAGAGCTGTGCACCATCTGCGAGTATCTGCTGCACTTCATCCAGGAGACTTTGGCCACTCCCGCCACCGACGACCAGATCAAACATACTGTGGAGACCGTTTGTGGCAAGCTTCCCAATGGAGTGGCCGGACAGTGCCGCAACTTTGTAGAGATGTATGGCGATGCCGTGATTTCTTTGCTCATCCAGGGCTTGAACCCCCGTGACGTGTGCCCCAAGTTGCAAATGTGCCCGAAGAACGTCGAGAAGAAGGAGGACATTGAAGTGTTCCACCCTGTGCCGGTCACCGACGAGCAGGACACGCCAACCTGCCCGCTGTGCCTATTTGCTGTGGAGCAGGCCCAGATCAAGATCCGCGACAACAAGTCCAAGGTGAGTGTGGGTTTCACCTGCTCTTATACTGAGTTCTAACCAAAATGCATCTGTAGGACAATATTAAGAAGGTTCTGGCTGGCTTGTGCACCCATCTGCCCGACAAGCTGAAGAACGAGTGCGTCGATTTTGTGAACACCTACTCCAACGAACTGATTGACATGCTGATCACCGACTTCAAGCCGCAGGAGATTTGCGTGCAACTGAAACTCTGCCCCAAGTCAAAGGACACTCTGGCCGACCTGGGAATCAGCCTGGAGGATGATGACAAGTCGAGCAGTGAGGAGATCACCAACGACATCGAGTCCCTCGGGGAGCTGCCCCTGCAGTTTGACTTCGACGACGGATTCAACGCTGGACCCAACTGCCTGATCTGCGAGGAGTTGGTGAAGGAACTGGAGAAGAAAATGGGCAAGCACCCTACCAGAGACAGCATCAAACAAATCCTGGAGCAGTCGTGCGACAAGTTGAAGAAGCCAGTGGCTGGAAAGTGCCACAAGCTCATTGATAAGTACGGTGATAAGATCGCTGACCTGCTGCTTAAGGAGATGAGCCCCAAACTGATTTGCGCCGAGCTGGGTCTGTGCCTGGTGGCTCATGATCTCGACGACCGTAAGTAGAAAAATCCCTTTAAAATATTTTACCCTAATTACTCTTGGTGTTTCAGTTGAAGTGGACGAGGCTCTGAAGTATGACGTGATTGCTCTTCCCCAGCAGGGCGACAAGCTGGCTCGTCTGGAAGCTTCCTCCCTTAAAGAGCCACCGACTTGCGTTTTGTGCGAGTTCGTCATGACCAAGCTGGAAAACGACCTCAAGAACAAAACCGAGCAGGATGATATCAAGCGGGCTATCCTGGCCGTGTGCAAGAAGATGCCTGGCACCGTTCGCAAGCAGTGTGACTCTTTTGTCGAGGGCTACGCCACTGCAGTGATTGATTTGCTGAGCAAGGTGCCGCCCAAGGAAGTGTGCCAGAAGCTGCAGCTCTGCTTCAGCATGGCAATCACCGACGAGGTCATCGAGTGCGGCGTCTGTCATGGAGCCACCCAGGTCCTCTTGCCGTTCCTGCGCGAACAGAAGGAGACGGTGACCACTCAGCAGATGACTTCTGTGGGCTGCGAGAACTTGCCGGCCAAGTACTACAAGATTGTAAGTTCCTAACCAAAAAATGTATGATAACTTGGTTTAATTTCTGACACCTTGCAGTGCTCTGAGATGATCTCCATCTATGGAAAGAGCATCATCAATCTGGCCTCGCGTGATTATGTAGATCAGGGTCATGTCTGCGCGGAAATCGGCAAGTGCTTCGAGAGCGAGAAATCTGCATTGGCCTATGCCAGACTTACAGGTGAGCCAGAAATACTAGACAATTATTATAATATTATAATATATTTATTTTCCTGTAGTTTAAAATCATCCCGGATGATTCGTTGTGATGTGGCATGAGGAGGAGAAGTAGAATGAGTAGCAAACGAAAAAAAAGAGGAGATGGAAGAATCGTCCCCATGCTTTATATATATATACTTTTACACAATATATCTGTTTACATTCTATAACGATTTACTGTAAATGAACGACCATTACTTACCTTTCTGTTCTGTTTCCGCACCCTGTTCTGGCTCTAAATTTGTTAGGGGTATTTGTGATGATAAAATGATTTTATAAAGTGCTCTCGAACCGGGCTGAAAAAGTGAAACTTAACTGAGAATAAAACTAAAACTAAGATGTAACCTAATCGTACTTTCAACAAGGAGTTAGATATTTCCGGAATCAAAGTACTATGTATCTATATCCAAGCCTGTCCGAGTCAGCCGAGCAGTGTGTCTAGTTTAAGATATCAAAAAACTGTAAAATACGAGAACATTGATCTTATAAATTATAAAGAAATCAAACAAAGTAGTGTTTTGTTGAAAATTTGGAATAGTGCTCGGGATCTGTACTATATATTTGCTTACCAGAATGTTTGAGAACACGCTGATGATTATCAAGCCGGACTACCTGCACAAAAGGCGTCCTGTGCTCCTCAAGTTGTTGTCCGAAGGATTTCAATTGCAAGGAAACCGAAGACTGGCTTTCTCGCCAGAAACGGCTGCCGAGTTCTACGCCGACTACGCGGATGAAAAGGGCTTCATGTTGGAAGTCATTTTGCTGTCCAAGGGGGTGTCGGAGGCGTTTATTGTTACCAAAACGAATGCAGTGCAGGAGCTGCTTAATATTATGATTTGTTACTTGTGAGTCCTTCCAAGGTTTAGTTCTTACTTTGGGTCTTAGTACTATCCCTTTTCAGTGGCTCAGCCTCGGATCTTGAACGGAATGTTCATGTGACAAAAAATGCAGGCTGTGTGGCCCGCGAAATAAACTTTATTTTTCCAAATTGTAAGTAAAAATTGTAGCTCTTTTAAACAATTAAAATTAATCTTGGTCCAATCCTCCTGTAGACATTCATGAACCCACTCATATGTTTGATCGCAACAACTTCTGCACGCGCCCCATGCTGAAACCTCTTTTTTCGGAAATCTACGACATTCTACAGAATACTGACTGCAGTCAGGACAACTGGAAAGTGCGAGTCTCCGACTACCTGGTGCGCAGCAATCCCGCGGTTCCGCAGATTAGCAACCAGTGCCAGCAGCGTCCGGAAGTTGGCATCCAGAATAAGTCGCAACAGACGGCCATGACCTATGCTCCACTGCCCAGTGCCACGGGTGTGCAACCCAGGACTAAGAAGACAGACAGTAGCACATCCCCGCTGACAAGCACCTCGCCACACTCCTCAATGCTGCTCTCGAGCTCATCCTGTGTCACCTGTGGTGGATTTGAGAGGACGGAGCCCGGCATTTCGGAGATAGACCTCAACAAGCGCGTGGAGCCACATGACGATGAGCCCGTTTGCGTGGATGAAGAGATTCTCTGGAAGGAAGTAATCGTCTACGAAGAAGTTCAGCCGGAGGAGGAGCAGGAAGACAAGGAAGTGATGGAACTCGAGGCCGAGGCCGAGGGAGAGGATGATGGTTCGGATGTGGAGTCAGATAAAAGTGTCCAAGAAGCACCACCCCCTCCACCGGCTGAGGAATCGAGTGAAGAGGGAGAAGCTGGGGCAGAAGCTCCAGCTGGAGATGCAGCGCCTCCACCACCTCCAGAGCCCGCTGCTGAACCAGCTGCGGAAGCACCAGCAGAGGCTCCTCCGGCAGAGTAATAAGCTTAAAAATTAATGTTTTTGTTGTTGTTTGAATGAGTCTGACTTAAAAAAATTACTTGTAGCAGCTATTAAAAAATGGTTAAGAACATCTGACACTCTAATTTTGTCTTTCAGACCCTTTACCGAGCTCTGATACCTTGAATTAGAGGTTCGGCATGCACCTGTTGCAACGAAGGTCATGCTTTTTTTAGAAGCATAGAAAAAATGTGAGGAAATGCGCTTTTTTTGCGGTATTCCCACCTGATACACCCACATTGGGCTGCCTCACGATGGACATTGCGCATTCGCATAAATGTGGCAGAAGTGGGCTCAGTAAAGGATGCTGCAGTTTTTTCCCTGCAAGTTGCACTCCGCACAGCTGCAACATATTCCCGCCAATACTTTAGTGGTTTTGGAAAATGGGCATAAATTAGAAAATTGCAAGAACATTAACGGACATTTACTCAACAATTTAAACAAATTGCTTTAACATCGATTTTTTAAAAAGAAAATAAATTACAAAACCTACTCTTTAATAAGAAAATGCGGAAGGGATATGCCACAAATGCATGCAGGATGGCAAACTCAGAAAAAGCTTTTTTATAATATATCTTTATAGATAAGATAATACATAATTATTTCAGAAAGTGTATTAATTCGGAAGTAAAGAATTAAGATTGTAACGTATTCCAGGTGGGTGACCCAACCAAGTAGGCTAAACAAACAAATGTCTAAGGAATCGTAGTATCCGTACGCTTTAAAAAATAAGGGAATCTGAATTTTAAAAAATTATAATTCGTAATACATTCTGAAAAGCTAATAACATTTTTAATTTATTAAGAGTACTGTTTAATAGTATGAGAATAAAATAAAATTTTGAAATAAAAATATAGGGAATATTTTTGCGTATAAGGAATTAAAATTTTTAGTAGTATTAACTTGACTTAACCCATTCAAGTCACGGTAGAAGGGACTGTGAAGAACCCAAAAAGTAACATAAAATGGATCACTTTGAGGAAGGATCACCTCAAGAAATTATCGTGTCCTATTAAAGAGGCTAGTTAAAAAGCTTAATATAAACTTCGATGGACCTGCAGCAATTTTAATGGCCATTGTTGTTGTTTCGGGGGTCTGTTCCATTTCCAGAGCGTTCCACCGTTCCCGGCAACCACCACCGGAACGGTGACAGTGGGGTGGGTCGGGTAATAAAACCCACAAAAGCTCTGCGGTACGAACGAACGGGAATCTTAGCTCCGGTCGCCGTGCGCTATGCAACGCTTTTTGTTTTCCGCTTTCAGCCATCCAAGGAAAATCGGCACTAGTCGGTATCTGTCTGCCACTCTGCTCGTCCTGCGTCTTGCCAAAAATAACAAATAATTACTCAAAATATCTCTGAGTGGAGTGGAGTGGGTGGGGAAGCTTTTGGCACGACCGGCGTAAGCGCCACCGCCAGCGTCAGCGTTTGCGTCGACGTAAGCAGCGGCGTCAAAGTGAATCGGTTTCGCAATACATACACAAACAATAGGCGCTGGGAAGTAGACAGCAACGAATCCTTGGCGGCTCAGCATTTCCACCGAATTCGCGTCGAGGAAAAGCGGAAAATCGGAAAATCGGAAACTAGCGGAGAACAGCAATCAGCGGCCATTTCGTATTGATTTTTAAGTGTGGTAAGCAGAGGAGCAAAGCAGCCAGCCATAGAGAATGGAAAACCCCACCAACTGGCAGTGAAAAAATCGAGAAGTGAAAATGTCAATGGCCAAGGCAGCCACTTGAACGAAAAGTGGGAGGTGGTGGGTTGAGGAAGTGCCGTAAAAAAATATTCCACAGCCCCTACAATAAATCCTCCAAAAGTGTTGGTGCAGTGTTGACGAAAAATTGTGGGAAAACTCAGATAGAGTGTGTGTGTGCGAAAAAATCAGCGCGCTTAAAAATAAATCCAGGCAGACACGGAAAAGCCCCAAACCCCGGGCTCAAGTTTAAAGAAGAAGCAGAAAAGGAAGCCCAAAGAAACGGAAGAGGAAGAAGCGGCCGGCATACACACACAGCCACAAATTAAAGGGGTGGCGGGGCAATGGGTGGTCGAGGGGTCGAGGGGCCATGGGGGAGATGGTGTGCCAGAGTGGCCAAAAGCTCAAGTCACAAATTTTTGCGCAAGGGCAGGCCGAGCATCGAATCGAGTCGAATGGAGTGCTTTCCTCGGGGGGTGGCTAACACACCTCGGTCGCAGTCGGCGGCGCTGCCGCGGTCGACTTTGACGCTGACGAAATTTCGCAACACTCGCACAATCGCACAATGGCACACACTCCCCCACTCGGCTTACAGTTGTTAGGGGTGGCATTTCTTGGGTTCCGGGAACGGAATGGGAATGGCACGAAAATCAGATCCAGGAAGTCAAGTTACAATACCCTTTTCTGAAATGTTTTGGGACTAATTTCATTGACCTTCTGGAGGAGGTCTAACTATCCATTTATTTTTGAAAGAGATAAGAAGGTTAAATATGGTTATTATTGATATTATCCATAATAGTAGAGTTATACCATTTAAAGCGAAAATGTAAAAAATAGGTTAATTAAGTTAAAAAGTTATATTTTATTGCTTATCAACAAAAGTAATACTTTTATTCCTATTATACTTATTCAAGCTAAAGCGCTCCGTCCTCCAAAGCGGCGCCGATAACATGGATAAGATGACGGTGGCCCAAAAGAACGCATATCTTGAGGCGCACATGGCCGTGCAACAGCAGATGGCACAGGCGGCGATACAGTTCAAGCAGCAACAAAACTCCCAGCAACAGGGCTCTCCCACGACCAACAACAACAATAACAACCAGAACAACGGCAACATGCAACAGCAGCAGCAGCAACAGCAGCAGCAACAACAGCAGCAGCAACAGCAACACTATGCTGCCACAATCAAGGTGCCGCAAATCAGTTCCTCGAGTGCAGCAGCAGCGGCGGCGGGCGGTGGAGGGGGTGAGAGTACCTTCACCGTCCCGGACGACGGCATGGGCTTCGAGGGCGGGGTGAGGGTGCTGCAAAGCCTGGGCACCTGGTCGGCCGCCGAGCAGTTAACCTACAACATACCCAAGCCAAACCTCATACCCTTTACAGAGCCGTACGTCGAGGGGGGCTCCATGCATCCCGCCAGCCGGCTCAAGGCGCTGCAACAGGTGCAGCAGGCATCCTCGGGGGTGCGCAAAACAAATCCCTCAAAGTGTGAGTATATAAAAATTAAACACAAGTTTATTAGACCACTTAATGATATTAATTTTTTGAAATTTAGCCACCAACAAGGCATTTGAATGCACAGTTTGCGGCAAGGGCCTAGCCCGCAAGGACAAACTCACCATCCACATGCGTATCCACACTGGCGAGAAGCCCTATATTTGTGAAGTATATGCTGCCCTCGAGCCTCTGGCCTTTGGCCAACTTGACATCTTTCCAAATCTCTAACCCCTTAATACCTTTCTCTCCCACCACCCCCACAACCATGCAGGTGTGCAACAAGGCCTTCGCCCGTCGGGACAAACTAGTGATCCATATGAACAAATTCAAGCACGTGACCCCCACGAACATTGCACCGCTTGGCAAGCGACTCAACAACATGGTGAAGAAAAAGGAGCAACCTGACCCGCCGCCGGAGGACAACAAGCAGAGCTTGGAGCTGCAGCTGCAGCAACAGGCGGTTCAGGTGGCCGCCCAGAACATAATTGTGCAATCGGCTCAAGGGGCGCCGGCGGCGATTCCCGGTATCATTATTCCACACCACCAGCAGCAGTTGTCCTGGACGTGCGAGCTGTGTGGCAGGATGTTCTCGAGCCGGGACGAGTGGTCCATTCATGCCAAGAGTCATCTGGAGGTGAGAAAATGTCGGTAGAGCCTCCCAGCTGGCGGAGAGTTCCTTTTTTGATTTCTCAGAACTGTTTTAACTGGGGTTTCGAATATTTGTTTTCTTGACAGTATTGACAGTCGGAACGGGTAGTCGTAGAGTCAACAAAACCAGCAGTAGCAGCAGTGGCAGCGGCAGGAGTCATTGCCAAGGCCGGCAGCAACAATAATCGCAGTTATCAGATAGATGCCAACCAGAACCAGATCCAAATGGAGGCCCAAGCACGCAAACAAAAAATAATCATACAAAATCAAATGATACTCAATGCCAGCCACCAGCAGCAACAGCAACAGCAGCAACAGCAACAGCAGCAGCAACAACAGCAACACTCCCAACCGCAACATCAGCATCAACAGCAGCAACATGTGGCCCATGGCAAAAAGGCGGCCAGAAAGCACCTGCAGCATCTGCAACAGCAACAGCAACCCAGTGCGCCTATGTACAATAACAATAGTAGTAGCAACAGCAACCACAACAACAACCAACAGGGCCAAGAAGTAACTACCTATTAACAACAACAACAACAACCAGAACAAGAACAGAATAAACATCAACACCGACAGCTAACAGCAACATTGAACACCAAACTGTAGAAAAATTATAAAAACCAATCACAAAGTATCCAATTCCGTAATCCGAATTCTGTTACCCTTCCGTTTTTATCCTTTCCCGCGAACGCAGGTGTCGGCGGTACCGGTGTCGCACATCATTGCCAACTCGCCGACAGCGGCCACATACATGCAGGCGCAACTGACCGAGCAGGCCAGCAGCATGCAACATGCAACAGCGACCGCAACAGCAGCGACTGCAGCCACGGGTGTGCCGATCGTCACCTACAACGGGAATCAGTACTGCGTGATCACCAGGGCTTCGGATCTTGATGTGGAGGCAATGCAGAAGCCGCTGGAATATGGCCAGGCTGGAGGTGCCACGCCCACCAACATAATTGTAATGTCGCCAATGCAACTACAACTGCCCCCACAGCAGCAGCAACAACAGCAGCAGCAGCAACAGTAAGCCAAGATAAAGAGAAAGGCCGGGTCAACAGCCTCGCTCTCAGCTATAAATACAAATTGTAAATAAAGTCTTAAGCAGCCCAAGAGCAAACCTAAGTATATGTTTAAAAAAACAAAAAAAAAAAAACCTAAAACAAAAAACCTAACCAGCAACATTAAAACCAAGTTTGTAAATGTCAAATAATATTCATAGACCCCAGTCAGCGAGCATCAATGTGAAATCAAAAGTGTAAACAGTGCATCACTCGAATCTAGACTAAGCAACCTAACATATCCCCCCGCAGAAGAGTAGTATCCATAGTATCCGTAAGGCAGCCACCACACTGAGATATAACCATATATTGTTTCGATCCAATTCCGATTTAGTTCCCAGCAGCAAAGTAGTAACAGGAATAGCCCCTTATTGACACCGCGTGTATGATATTGTATGTGTTGTTTGTACAATAAGCTAATTACCATACTCCACTTTAAGTCTTCAACCTATCGGAGCATGGAAGCAACAGGATAAACACAAATTGGAAAAATGGAAATGAAAATTTATAAAAGAAAAGTAGCAGTAGTAGTGTCCATCAGCAAAGCTCTCCCACAACTCCCCACTCGATTCAAATGGCAAACCATGTAAAGATCAAGCGAAAATAAAAATTTAATTTAATTAAATAAAGAAAATTACTTTTCAAAGGGTGGAATAAATAGGTATGTAAGCATATCATGTAAGTAGATATTCCAACAAAATCCAAGTCATCTCAAGTTGTCAGCATATTACGCATACGCCATGATGTCCATACTGAGCATCATTCAAGTGTCACTATCGCTCACTTGTGTTCGGACACTCACTTTCAGCCAAGTTCTGAATTAAAGCCATTCTGGCACCCATTAATTGACGGTTGTTGTCGTTTATTATTCTGCGTTGACCAACTTAGGCGGCATTCTCGCTTTTTGGTCCAAAGACCCGGGCCGGTCCAAAAGTTGAGTAAAAACCAAAACATTTGGTCAAAGCTGAGCTCACGAAAATCAACTTTTCGTTGAAAACAGAAATAAAATGAAAAAAGCCGCCATTTGACCTTAGATGGAAACTCGTCTCAGTCGCTGCGACGCCGGCTGCGCTGCTGCTGTCGACGCTGCATTGGCAGCAAATAAATTTCTGGCTCGAATGCTGTTTGCGTTTGTTGTTAATATTTGAGCCAACAGCATAGTTTCCATTGGGGTTATTGAAATAGTGAAACTATAATGCAACAAATTAAATAATCTCTTTGAAGATGATACAAAAAATAGCATTTATTTACATATTTATATATTGTTTTACCTTTAATTGCGTTTAATATGCGATTATTTATACTACATATTAAACAAACTGATATGGATAGAACTTTGTTAAGAAAAGAATAGTCTTTATCTTTACGGATATTAAAGTTAAACAAATTCTTCTTTAGGGTATTTCATAGTGGGATATATCTAGAATACAAACATAGTACTTCGCATGCGGTTTTTTTTCGCAAGAATCGCAAATTAGTCTGGGCCCGAGCCGAGCTGATCACCTGAACAAACTCGAACTCGAACGCCTACGGCAGTGACAACGCTCACGGCAGTGTCGATGGCTATGGCGACGCCAACATCTCTGCCATTTGCTCTCAGCCTCCGTTGGATTCTTTTTGGTGTCAGTCGGTTTTCGGATCACTTGCCGATCAGTCGAGCTGACCACCCCGGGGAAAAGATGCTGAACGGAAAATTCTACACGGGCCTGCCGCCCAAAATGGTGGAGCGTCAGGCGGTGAAGGTGTGCAATCGTCAGGAGTCCCACTTCTTTTGGCCTGACGATTCTGGCCTGGACTCGGCGGTGGAGAATCGGGTCAGGCGCAGGAACAGCCAGCAAATGGAGAAACCCTTGCCCCGCGTCACCACTGTAGTGGATAGCCCCAGTGAGGTGGATACACGTCGAATGTTTCACAAGGAGTTCGCCAGCTCCTCCATTCAGTTCTTCGATAATCTGCAATCCAATTCTGGCAATCGACCGGCCCTGAGGAGAGGAGTACGCACTTCGGTGACCCCAAAACTCACCGAAATCAAGCCCCAAGAGGTGGAGAACAACGAGGTGGATACCTCGAAGCGACGCCAGCAGGCCTATGCGTCGAAAATTCAGTTCTACGACTTTGTCAACGAAGAAGACACCCAAAACAATGTTAGGAGGCCACAGATGGACCTTAACGACAAGCGAGAAGTCGAGCTCAACTCGAAGAACAGCCCCAAGCTGCAGGTGAAGAGAAATGTGCGCAGTTTGAGTGTGGAACTGGAGCCGAAGGTCGTCAAGAAACCCCTGAATGACAGTCCGGAATGGCGGCGAGTACGCCCACTGCCACTGCCGCTGGCACTGCCACTGCCGAAAAAGATACTGAAGCAGCCTGTGCAGGATCAGGATCCGTTGGACTATGTGGACAATCGGGTGAGGAGGCTGCAACTAACCAGAAGTCCTGGTCTGCCCAAAAAGAAGCATGTGACCTACAACGAAGAGGCCGAGGAGTATGGCTACATCGACGATCGTGGGGATACGGAATCCATTGAAACCGTTGAAAGTCGCCCTCGTCAGCAGCCAAATATGTCGACAGGAAGTCGACATCAGCAGCAGCAGCAACAGCAACCACAGCAATACCAGCAGCAACGTCAGCCGCCACCAAGATCATTTATGGAAACTAGTCGAGCCAAGCCATTAAATAATAATAATAATAATAACAACTACCAAGCCAGTGCCCGTGGTAGGAAAATCTTGCCAAAATTGCCAGAGAGTCCCACAGCACAGATCGGTGATGAGGCAACCTCGCCCCCTGCCGCTGACCCCCGTAAACACCTGCGCAGCAGCCTCTGCTTCAGCGGCGACGCTCTGATGGTGGGCGGCCCGGCAGCGGCGTCGACGTCGACTGCGAAGTCGTTGGCGCGTCGCAGCTCAGCCGGGCAGCGAATTAGCGTGGGCCTGCCGGATTGAGATATTTTTGTTTATTAAATGCAAGTGCACAGAGAGAAAAATAGTTAAATATAATTTTTTAAGAGTAATAAGGTTATACTATCTATTACCTGTAATTAAGGTATGCTTTCTGTTGTTCAATTATATGAAAACTCATCTTAAAATGAGAACTAGTTTTCTCTCAGTGCATTGCATTTGACACCATCACAGATTGCAACGTTAATTGAAATAAACAGCTGCAAATAAAGCTGAGATAGAAGAAAAAGCAGCAACAAATGTGGCAACATCTCTAGGCGGGGCAGCCACACCGAGCCCCCTTATAGGTTTCACTTTAATGATCATCTGCCTAACTTTGACTTCACCCACTGACGAATGAATGGATCGGCTTTTATTATGGCTGGTTGGTTGAATATATGCATATATAAACAAACCTTGATCTTGACTAATTCGAGAGTGTGTGTTGGCTGAATTGTTGACTTTGTGCAACCCGAACATGTATTAATTTAGCCTTTTAAGCTATCACAAAATAATCTTTAATTATAATAATAGAGATACATATGCTAATAAACTGATGAATAACCAAATGAACTTCTTCTTGGGCTTTATTCAATTATGCCAAAATCTTAATCCAGAGATCATTTGGGTGGGATATTTTACATTTTTTTTTTTTATTAAAGGCTTAAATATAATGCTATCTCTAAAAATAAAAGTTAATTAGAAGTCTTACTAGACAAGCAGTTGAATGTAAGGTAGGGTATAGTTTTATTTCTTCTCGTTTATCTTTTGATTTATGAAAGAACTCGTATTCAATTGACACAACGACATTGAATTATGCATAATAAAATATAATTTATATTTATTTGATATCAATTGAAAAGGGAATTGTGTAAAATTTTATAAATTATAGATTGATTTTGCAGCGAAACGAATCGGCTGCCTCGGCTCTTTAATAATAATCTAATTTAAGGTACGATTTCGTGGTGCTCGTTTAAATTCCCGGCAATTTGTGAGTTTTGGGCAATCAAGTCATTGCTCTGGGCGGCTCACCTGGTCATGCCCGTTTTCATTGCCATTCCCATTCCCGTTTGCAGGTCCCTGCTCTGCAGCTCCTTTCACAAAACTTTCAGCGAATTGGCCGAAAAGCTAAAACCATTACCTGGCATTGTTAAAAACCCAACGGAAACTCAACCAGCTAGCCGTCAAGTTGAAGTTCCAGCTCGTGTCGCCTTTTGATTTGTTCACAAGGAAGCGGGAAATTATGCGGAGCTGCAACAATTGCAGCAATTGTCACGCGTGTTGAACTTGAGCTTGACCTTGGCAGAAAGTTGGGACTGCCACCCATTGTCCATCATGATAGCCTGCCACAATTGCAGCAATTACGGCTGGCAACGAGGTATTAGTCGGGGATTTAATTAAAGCATCGATTTAATTGCCGGCAATCTCCATCTGACATGGGAACTCAAAAAACAACATGCAGACAGGATAGACGTGCCACATAATTGTGCAAATGAAGCGTGTTGAAATGTTATGCAAGTCCCTGTCCATGACCAAACGGACATTTCTACAATATATCCATTTCCATTTCCACATCCACGGGCACTTCCACCGACCACCAACCCAACTCAAGACAAACTGCCTCCGCACAAAACTGATCTTCCGCATTTCGATCGCGCATCCTGGCCATAGAAAGTAGTCCAAGCGTGCCGGCAAAAAAGGCCAAAACGTAGTGCCAGCTGGCTAACGTTTCCTGGCTCGTTTGTGGCCCCTGCTGAACCTGAACTTGGGGCCGAAAACGGAGAGGGGCCAGTTGGGGTTGTTTATTGGGTAACTGATCGGCCGGGCCAATACTTCGTTTGGTGGAAACCCGTTTGCAGACGAAACTGATTCACAAAGTTCGATAAGGGGCTCGCTCTTCTGCTTTTTGCAGTGGGTGTCTCGTCTGCCGGTAAACCTTCATACACTTGAAATAAAATATATAATAGTATATATTACACTATATAAAAATGTAAATACATATCTTTCCCAAAATACTCATACATTATATTTCAAGAACTAATGCTTCTATGGTTAGTTATTGAAACCCCTTTGTTGTTTCAAAAATATTATTCAATACATGCAACATTTTTATGGTTAAAATAATTGTTTTTATAAACTAAATCGGTTGTATTTGTTGCCATTAACATGATTTTTATTTTTTTGTCTGGCAATTTTCGTACTTTCTTATTAAGTCACAGAGAAAAAACTATTACCCGATCCCCTTCCCATTTTAGCAACTACCTAGTGGCAAATGGGCATCGTTATGTGTAATTACGGCCATAAAGAAACATTTTATTTGTGCCCCTGCCCCTTCGCATTCGCTCTATTTCCTACTGGAAATGCAAATGATGCCTCAGTTTCATTTTGCGGCAACGGCTTCCTCCAACTTGTAAGCCGTGAGTTGTACCATGAGTTGTAAGTCCATGCGTGAAGCAGAGATTTAGATCTGGTGCTGCTGCTGCTGGTTGGCTGGTGGATGGTGGCTGGTGGCTCACCTGGCAGGTTTCAATTGCGAATTGCAATTGCAAAACATGTTGCAACAGGTTCGAGACTTTGGCCCGGCTTTGACGAGGAAGCTGCCATAAAACTGTTGTGTCCGTTGGCCGAACTTTCAGTTTCGTTTGGGGCCACCACGCTGGTGGTTGATACGCCGAGAGAGAGTCTTCCAGGAAATCCACCCGAAAACCAAAACCCCACGCACAATGAGACCAAGCTGGATTGTAAGCGGCTGATAATGTTTTTGGCAATTCACAGTTCTCACGATTTAATCTTTGGATTACCCGTTGGCAGCAGTTGGCGGCTCTATTGCTCCTAATTGCAGTGGCTTCTGGATTGCGACCCCCAAGGTCCTATTACCGCAGGAGCTATTACAGTGCCGTGGCTCCAGGATCTAGTGCAGTGCCAGGACCCATCAGACTCAGTCCTTCGGGATATCTTCGTACCGATCTGCAGACCAACGAAAGCAAGCACCGTCCCATCAGCAAGAAATATCCCAAAAAAAGTCACTACAGGCCCTATGGATCGGTGAGTTGGCCGAAAGGATCCTCCTACTCCTACTCCAACCCCAAGTTCAAAATTTACTTCGTGAAAAAATCGAAAAAAGGATACCAAAAATTCAAAAAGGCTCTAAGCAAAATAAGACGTATACTGTGATTAAAGATTTCCAAAGAGATTAAAGATTTTTTCAATAAAATTAAAACACAAAAAGTATTACCAAAAATCCGTTCAAAACTTTTTCTAAATTATTTGTTTAAACTTTACAACAATATATAACTTCGGCTGGAATATAATAGGTTAAAATGTGCTTATATCCACATATATGTGCACATTTTATACTACAATTTACAAAACATTTTAAGGAAGAAATTGAATAGTTTTCAAATATTTTATTAAAAATATTTTCAATCGACCTTTTTGCGGAAGAAATAGAAAAGTTTTCTAATATTTGATTAAAAATATCATGATTTTTATTATATTTGTTGCATTTTTTAGCAAGAAGAGGATGACTATTCTGGAGAGCGCTACAATTCGGCGGAGTATTCTGGGGAATCATCTGTCCAGGATAGTCGGGAGTATACGATTGGCACCCAAATTCGTGTTCAGCATCCGATCACGGTACCGAAAAAGACCAGCAATTCCGGTTCCATTTACTCAAAACAGCCCAAGTATGTGACAGCCATTCCATACAAGTCCACTGGATACGCTGCGGATGTTCATGTGGGCTCCTCCGCAGAAGAGATCGGTCCTCCGCCGAAGCGCTCCAAGTGGAATCCGGTGCAGTACGATGCGGAAGTGGATCCCTTTCACCTAGTACCACCGCCAAAGGCCACTGCTGCCTCCACCAGCAATTCGTACAGTGTCTACGAACCGGAACATGATGACTATGAAGTAGTGCCAGTGCCGCGTCCGAAGACTCACGATCGCTACAAGAATGTGGCTTCCAAGAAACAAATCGAGGCCTATTTGGAGGACCAGCAAAAGCTCCTGGACGAGGCCATCAAAGTGCAACTCCTGAATAATCCAAAGCTTCAGAAATTCCTGAAGGCCCAGGCCGAGGAACAGGAGCACGCATCCCGTCCGGACCTAGAGATCGAGGACTTCGAGGCCTATCCTCCCAACTTTTCTGGGCCCGGTCCCCTGCGCAGTAAATACATTGACCATCCCCCGCCCCCGCCAAAAGGATCTCGCACACGCCGGCGTCCTCCTGGCAGCGATCACAAACGTCCACCAAAATCCAAGCCCATCATCAAGCCCAAGCGGAAGTACCGATCCACAGCATTGGTCATCAATGTGTAGTGGGGGGCAGCACCACATGACTTAGTCCTTGATAATTTACTAATTTAAACACCGCTCATAAAAGTTTAGTTTAGTTGTACAGTAGAGCTGTAAATAATAAAAGACCATTTAATTTTAATTAAACTTGTTGAATTTTTAAATTATAATTATTAAAAAAACAAAATGAAATCAAAAAATATTTTTTAGTTTGTGGCTTTTATTTTCTATATTTTGTTCTACAACTTTTATTTTTTAAGGGCAGAAAAAATTAACAGAGGAAAAATTGCGAATATTTTATAATCTAAAAATTACTACTTACTAAAATTACTTAAAATGTATTACTTACTCCAAAAATTAAAGGAGCAACCAGTTTGCCACAAATAAGGCACCAAAAAGGGAAAATGGTACATTATTTCACGGTAATAAGTATGAATAACGTTTTTTAATATTAGTTTTATATTTAATATTTTTAATTTTTATTTAATATTATTTTTTTTAAGTTTTTACAAATAAGTAAAAGCAATGTAAGATTCGTGTCAAATGTAGAAAAGAAAAGCGACCTCGTTTCAGGGATGCATAAAATTGTTTGTAGCGCCATCTATGGTATGGTGGCACAACTTCCAGCGGATGGAAGAATAAATTGGAACTCGCAAAAAGGAAGGTTTATATATATCTTTTTAATTAAAAAAAACTCTCCAATTGCTCTTTAATTTCATTTTTATATCTCTCACACCCACGGATACAAATAATCTTTAATCTGGCGACGTTTGGCATTTTAAAAATAAATCAATTCCCTCTTAAATAATTATTCATATGAATAGCCCATATAAAATCACTTTGATTCTCTGCTACACACCCATGACACCTGTTCGGATACCACATGTCAGGCAAATTCTTGACTTTTACCTCTTTCGCAACGCGCGAACGAAAATCCGCAATTGAGCAAGCCACTTGACTCAAAACCAATCCAATTCGATTGCCGCAAAGTGGGTGCAAAAAGGCACGTGAAGCAAAACAACAAAAATATTAGAAAAAAACAATAAGCAGTAAAAAGTAAAAAACAAAACAAAATTGATTTTCTTAATTGACTGAGCAATTTCAACAGAAGCCAGAGCCCAAAGCGAAACCCCAAGCCGGACTCGAGTCCACAACACAACTGACCTTGAAAGCTAAGCTCTGAAAAGTGTTGCTAATATTATTGTTATTGTAAATGTTGGTACTATTGCTATTGGTGGTGAAAAAGAATGCCAGACTGTGGATGTGGAAAGTACAGATAGAGAAAATTAAAGTATACAATTTTCAAGACAACCTAACAAGAGCGTAACAATTTTTATTAGTATATTTAATGCTCGATTCATGAAAATCTATTTTTTATCTATTCTAAATCTATTTTATCACCTTTCATTGTTTTTTTTTTAATTTTATGATAAGTTGAGTTTTTTTTTAATGTAGTAATTATTTATTCAAATTATATGTATTAAACTTCATTAAAATGTTGAGTTCAATTTCCATATTTGAAGACTCAAAAATTAATAAAAAATATAATTCACATATAATTCATCAACAAAGAAAATCCCCTTAAATATTATTTTAAGCATTATTAAATCTTGCATCATAAAAAAACTAGAATATTATTTTTTTGCAACCCGCATTAAGTTAACAATAAGCCGGCATTCTTAGCATTCGATGGGGCATGAAATTGAGCAAAATATTTGGTTGTAATTAAGTTGAAGTAAGACAACTAGAGCTTGACAAATCGAACTATCATTAGGCATTTCAATTAACAGTACCACTCCCCTCCGATTGTAACACCCCCACTTAGATAGCACATGGTTTTCCGGCTCAACCCACACACAGTTACACCTAAAAATATACTAACGGCCCCTCGAGGGGGAAAAGGCGCCAAGTTGATTTCATTTTCATTGGAATTTTTGCACAATTGGCCAAGATTACTGTCAAATGGGCGAAACCAGTTTGAGGCCTTTCCTTGTTGGCCACATAGAATCGTAACAGAAACGGCCAACCAGAAACCGAAACTGAGTCGATCTACAAACTAGTTTTGCATCTACGAAAGTTTGTTGTGTAATGGAATATATTTAGGGGTGCTGGAGGGGGAGTTGCATTCGGTGGGCGTTCACTGCCCGAGGTGTTTAGATAAATCGCTTTGAAATTAAATTAAAAATCGTTGGCAAACAAAATACTTTGGACACACACTTGATTGCGACCAGAAGACTTCGCTGACAAGACAAAAGACTTAAGACACAAACTTGGTTTTTCATCAGTATGGTAATGTATATTAGACATCTTAATCATATTCTATACAAATTGCTGAGACGTCCCAATGCCCAAATTACTAAAAATTTATCATTTAACGCTTTCGAAGTTTATTTGCTTCGTTTCTCTGAAAATTGTAATCCAATAGGGTATTGGAAACTGTTCAAAGAAATACAGAGAATCTAATTTCAGTTTTAAACAAAATCTAGACTTTAATTCACAATTTGTTATTTGATTTTCTCTGTGTAGAATTATAAATTACAAACAAACAGTACGCATATAGGAAGTACGATACAGAGTTACAATTTGCTCTTAAACATATCACACAAGAGTTTTGATGGAGTCAAGGAAATCTATAGTTGTGAGATAGCAGAGAAGTTCGGAAGGGTAGATCAGAGAGAGGCAGAAATATGCAGATAGGGAGGGTAAGGGAGACAGGATGAAGAAGATGCAACATGTCTGAGTGGTGGTTTAGACCTTGTTAAAGGAGTAGGTGAAGCCATCGGGCGTGCGGTTCAGTGACAATTTTCCGGGTGGCGAAAAGCGGTGTGGGTTGGGGGTGGTGGTGGGGTAGTACGCCTGCTGCGGTTGTGGCTGGTACTGTGGCTGGTACTGCTGCTGGGGCTGGGGTGCCGGCTGTGGGTTGTACGCGGGCTGCGGGGCAGGGCGGTACTGGGGCTGGGGAGCGGGCTGGTGGTAGGTCTGCTGGTTCTGCCCGAAAGAGGGATCATTGTAGCGGGGATCGTAAGAACCATCATCGCCGTAGTCGTTGCTACGGAAGGCGGGCTGCTGAGGGGCAGGAGCCTGGTAGGACTGTGGCTGGTACTGCTGCTGTGGTTGGTATCCGGCGGTGGGCACGGGCTGTGGAGGTGCAGGAGGGGCCTGGGGCAAGTGATCGCCCGATGCCTGGAAACTGTAATGAAGAGAATTATAATAAAATTGTATAAGTTATGTTACAAAAGTTTTTTTTTTTTATAATTTTTTTCTTAAATTCTTACCCATTCTTTCCAGCTGTGTAGGAAATAGTACGCCTCTGGCCGGAGGGATCCACGTAGCTGTAGCTGCCGTGACGTGTGCCATCAGCATCAGTCTCCTCCTTGAAGTTAATGCCATCTTCCTGCTCATAGGCAGCTCCAAACTTGCCATCGCCGGACAAATAACGCTGTTCACTGATAATGGCCGCCGTTTTGGGGTCCTGGTGATAATTTTGGCACGAAGCCATAGCCACCAAAGTGGTCAATGCAAGCTAAAACATGAAATCGATGGTTACATATTTTTCAGAGAAATATTTATCATTTATTTTTATACGATGTATAAATATTTGTTATTAAAACTATTTTTTTCTTTTAAAAATTTGCATAATCGTCAAGAAAGAAAAAATGATTCACTAAATAGTTTTAAATTCAGTTTTTGATAAATATATTTTGTTTCAGGGTTCTTTAAAATTGTTTTTGAAACACAACTCACAAATCTGAACATTTTGGAAACGGGAATGCTTTTTGAATATCCTTGTCAAGCGTAAACTGCACTCTGGTTTTCTCTCTTTAATTTTAATATTATTAAGGGGGATTCACACGCGCCTTTACGCTTACAAGTCGGTGGCTTTAAAAGGGGACCGACGGCAACGGATTTGTGGAATTAACTGCCTTCCGCAACGGAGCCGCCCAAGCTTTTTATAGTCCGAGCGGGAACCTTGGATCGCCGATCGGATCGACTCCGCCTAGGCACTCGAAGCCGTGTAATTGTGTTGGTACTATTAACAGCTAAAGCGGCTACAGCGGAGCGGCCGTAACAATAACAAGAATCAAGCTAAGTGCTCCAATAAGTCAACTCTGTGCCAGTATGGGTATCGCGGTCGTGTTGCCAAGTCGTTATACCAGTTTCCAACTCTTTCGCTTGGCTCTGGGGAGCTGGGAGCCAAGAGCCGACTTTTGCTTTCTATATGCACAATTTCAGGCAGAAAACCAGCATGCCCAAGCCCAAGCCCAAGACAAAACTATTTTTTAATTATTTCAAAAGTTTTTCAGCGCTCCAGAGTTCGTACGAGTGTCCTCATCTGTGGGGGGAATTTTAGATTAGTGTTACAACGATCCAACCGGGAATTATCAATTGGTTCTGCTTTGAGGCTCTGGCACTGAATGATGTAATTTTTAACGGCAATTGTTTAATTTGGTCATCGATAAAAATAAAACAAAAGAAACCAGAAACCTATATCTTCAAATAAAGAAACTGTCGATTTTGACGGATAACTAGACCGCCCTGGGAAAATACTTGGGAAACTTATGCCAAAAAGTCATTATGTTTCAGCTCTCTTCATTTTAATATTGCAGTCGTTAAATGTTTGTGTTTGCTAGATTTAAGCTGGATTTGCATTCTGCATGTGCATGGCCAAGTTGATTTATATCTAGATCTCACCCTGGGCTGGACTTTGTGGTGTGGCCAATAGCAGTTGGCAACAGTTGGAGTTAAAAAACAAAGCGAATACAATCGCAAGAGTTGCTGCAATGTGTTTGACTTGTTGACTCTTGGAGCTGGCTTCAATTATTTATTGTGTTTGAAATGTCTGGCATTGTTTTGGGCTTGTTTATGGCCAACAGTTGGCTGCCACCCACATGCCCCACGCCCACTCACACGCCCCCACCTCCTCCCATGATTGTAAATTTGCAACTTAGACTGGAACATATGTATGAAATTAATTCTGAGAATTGTAACATATATTTACGTATAAGCTTTCTAATACAATTTTCAATTAAGAATTGTTCTACAAATTCTCCAAACCTGTTTACCCAAAGCTTATAGATTTTTCACGGGTCTTAAACATCGCTTTTCGGAATATACCAGCACCCAAGCAAGCAGAATAAGAGCATTTAGCTATGCAAATCGGTTTTCCATAATTTTAATGAGGCATTTCCACACACTCGCTGTGGCACACTGTCGTTTACAAAATAATGTACTCGTAGTAGCCGCATGTGGTCGTGGATTTCGAGAAGCAACACTCTCGTTTACAATGCTATTTGTTTTGCCCTTTTGGTAGTCGCCATCGACATCGTCATCATCCGCCTCATCATTGCCGGTTTTGTTTGTGTGGCCAAAAACAGGGAACGCCCTCTCGCAGCAGGAAGTGTGGAAGTGTGAGCTGGGAAAAGTAGGAGGAGGAAATTAAATCAGTTGACAAAGAACAACAAGCAGTCGAGCAGCCAGGCCGAGCTAAACTGGCAAGCTGGCAAGGAAGCCGAGCAAGAGCAACGGACCCAAGGTGAAGTTGGGCATGGCCGGATTAGCTTGGGAAGGGTGTGTCCACGGAGGGTTGAAATGGGCCAAGTACAGTGGTTACTGCGAAAAATAAATATCCTAGTCATTGGAGTTTTTATGGCAAGTAAGTGGCTATTATTTCAGTTTTCCTGGTTTTCCTGTTAAACAAATTATTTAATTTTTTTATTGAATTGTTTTTATTAGCCGGTTTATTTAATATATAGCTTCAACAGCTATTATTTTTTACCCCGTTTCGGTAGGGTTATTTTGTACAATTTAATGCATTAAGTAATTCAAAACTTATATGAATGAAAAGATGTAAATGTTCACTTTGATTCCAGTTTTTTTTCGAGGAGGTTACAATATTTTTCTCCGAAGTCAGCCATTTGGAAATACAAAATTTAAACAATTATAAAATAATTCAAAAAATTCATCTCCCATAAAAACACACCACTGTACTCGGTTCGTACTTCCTTGGACGTCGAGCTGATGCCTTTTTGATTTCCATTTCGATTTCGAGGCGTTTGCCTGATCCGACGATACTGCCACCCAGAAAATCCTTAGGGGAGGGAGGCGGCGGCATATCAGGAGGTTGATTTTGTTGTTATTTCTTTGTTGTTATTTTGATTGCACCGTCTCACTCTCTCTATTAGAGGGGGGATGGCCCTATAAAGAGTTCCATTTGTCAGTAGGCTTTTACTTTCGCCGAGTTAATCACAATCGACCAACAGATAATGAGGGTTGATCATGCCCAGCGGGAGGGTGGGGGTACATATATATGCAAAAAAAGAAGAGCCTTTTACCAGATCCCTGCTGCCATAATTCCGCGTTGTCTCTCAATTATTTCAGCTGCTCTGTCGAACACAAAACGGCGTCTGAGTCAGATTCTAAAATCAACCACCGAACAATGCCCTGGCGAAAATGAAAATGAAAAAAATGTAAATGGATAAGGGAGAGATATGGACAGACAATTGCGATTATTTGTAATTCAAGATGCAGTCGAGCGTTTTCTGAAATCGAGCAAGTCAACTTCTCGGTGCGGAAGGTTAACAAAAATTTAATGCTAAATGCTTATCGGTTCTATCATCAACTCCGCCGTCATCGCCATCTCCATTTCCATTTCAGAAGTCAAAATCGAAACTCGCTAAACTTGTTGGGAAATATGATCCACTATTCCCGGAAAAAGAGATGGGCAAAGGACGATTTGATGGCTGATTCATAGGTGACCCTTCTTTAGACTCGTCAAAAGTCAGTCAGGCAATATTATGCACTTGCAAAAAAACTACATCATTATTATATTTTATTATCTATTTTAATATTAAATTTTATTTTTAAATATGATTTAACATTAATAGCAATACTCTAATACTGTTACTCTAGTCTTAAGATTCATATATTTTTACAACTTATCCCATACTTAATATATTATAGTACTCCTTTTAAAATATGTTTACAAGAAAATATTATTTCTTTATAAAAAGTCTTTAAATTAATTTTTACAAAATACAACCTTTAATTTTTCCTGTGATTCTCTGCTATAAATGTATGTATCTTATCCCAATCCCATTTCCGATCTCTATTTGTATGAGGTTGTAATTCGAAACGTATTCCTAAATCCCCGGTGTAAGTGCCCTTTAATTGCGCATCTGCTGAAATTTCGCATCGCATTTTCCTGACCAAGGTTTCACTTACCATTTGACTTTTCCTTGGCCCAACCTTACCCTGAAAACGGAGATCTGAAATCACTTGTCAAACGGTCATTTAAGCCGTTTAAATGCCGCATAACTAACGTGGTTTATATTGCCACTGGACCAGTTTCCACTCACGCACACACATACGCACTTACAATATCAAGGTCATTGGGGCCTGTAACCAGACTCTCGGCAAGGGGGGAGTGCCATATACGTTGCGTGTAAGGTGGGCCTATTGAAGAAGGAGGCGTGGCATGGCGGGGATAACGGGGGCTATACAGCCTGAAAACAAGTTTGTACACAGACGCATGCGTAGCGGTTTTTGCGTTGCACTTCGCAGACTTCCGCGTTCGGGGGCTTGCACTTGAGTGCGAATATGCAAATTTTGCAAATAGTGACGTCAAATCTTGGATAACAGAATTTAGTGGTAATAAGTAGAAAAAACTATTACAAAAATATGAAATATTGTTTAAAAAGTTTAAGGATTTTAAGACCTATTTTGGTCTTTAGACGCTTTTATACAGCTTTTATTAAAAAAATATGCAAGGGATTAAATTGGAATTAAAAGTGGAAGATTCAAGCCAAAAAAAATTATCTTGCTTCCTGCATTTGCAGTAAATTATCTTATCGCCCTTGTCCTTGAAATGTGGCATGCAACTGGCCAGCAGTTGCATTCAGTGCAATTTTCGAAAGTTGTTTCATAGCCACCCAAATTGTTGACCTTCAGTGGCAAAAACGGTCCATTGAACCCTCCGGTTTTATGATACTTGGCACCCCAAGACCTGCCACAAGAATTCACGATAATTTTTCCACTCCCCAGAAAAATGCCTACTTATCCGAAGACCAAGAAAAATCTGCAGTAATTTAAATACGAGTATCATATGGTATTTTATGAGATGACGGAACGTGATTCCATCGGAAGAAGGTCAAATCATAAATGAGACAATTAAAGCTGTAGATGTTGACGTCTATTCATTGGCGAAAATGAAACATTATTCAACGCACATTACACATTAATTACTCGCGCTGACAAAACGCTATTAACAAATTTATGATTTCCATGCATAATCGCATTTTCAATGTCACTTCGGCCGGAGGTTCGGATTGACCGGAATGAGGTACACTTTATTTTGGTGTGACATGCAAACAAGTGAACGATTAATTGCACTGGCGGCGGCGACAAATGGACAAATCGGAACAGCCCCGACAATCCCCTCAAAACGGGCACTGAATTCCGGTTGATTGTACCCACTCTTTTGTGGACAATGTCAAACGTCAAAGTGCAAGAATTTGACAGCTAATAAACAAACAGCAGCCATGGCTATGAGGGTTATATGGTAGACTCGACAAATAAGCAGCAACAACAAGTTGAAGCCAGCGTCTGAGGTTCCGCTCTCATGACAGGGCATTAAAATTATTATCAAAAAAATATATGGGGAAAAAATACAAAAATAAATACAAACATGTCCACTTGACGAGCGCACTTGTAATCGATTTGATATTTAGACCTCACCTCAGATCGACTCACCTGAAACCCACTCCACTGGGTTGAGTGTTTGGGCCAGTTGCTCGCCTCCTTTTTCACAGGTGATTAGATGTTGGCCACGTCTGCGGCGGCGTTGGCTCAAAGTGGTTAATTAGCCTACCGTTTGTGGTACCATACTTATTATTGTAGCCATAGTTTTTGGCGCGCTACTCTCAAAAACAATCCG